TATGCTGTATATATTCAAATTCAAATTGATAAATGCCGTAGCTTGAATACCCTAGCAGAAAGTATTACAATATGCGCGTGGAATTTGTAACACAACGAGGCAAACATTGCCTGGCGATCAGTTTTGGTCTTTAGGTTTCGGTTAAAAAAAGCTAGTATAGAAAGTGTATGCAAACTTCGGCGTGCCGAAGAAAGCCTCTTCTTTCTAGCTTGTCATTGTTTTTGCTTGGTGTTTTTGTGCATTTAATCACGAGACAAAGCGACAAAATTGACAGCAGCCTGAAACTGGTTCGGGTAGTAGGCGGTACGGTACGGCCCGGCCTGGGCAAAAGTATAAAGCCGAACCGGCGCCAGTCGCTGCTGACTAAAGCCACAAAGCGGACGTTCAACTAAAGATACGAGGAAAATGGGCACGTAGATCGACGGTTCGAGACTTTCAGACACTATCAATAACGCTCTCTCGTCTCTCTCTCTCTCTGTGTAATTGCAGCCAAGCCTGGTTTATTGCTATTGTTGCTGGCGGTGATTGGCACCTGTGTGGCTGTTACACTGGCGGCCGGCGGTAAGTCATGGCCATAATGGCTGGAGCAGTTGGAGTTCAACTTTATTGCCTGTTTTCGTTTTGCAGACTGCCCCTCATCGACCAAGGTGACAAACTGCACGCCCAAGTGCCTGCATGACAGCGAGTGCAGCGCCATTGGCGGCAAATGTTGTCCAAATCTGTGCAACGGACGCAGCTGTGCATCGCCCAATTTGCTGGGCAACTCGGGCGCCGATAGCTCGCCCTTTGGCAGCAAAAACTGTGAGTAGTAGCCGGGCGCCTTAACTGGAAATAGCAATTGTTCTATTCTATTTGCAGCTGGCTCCACGGGCACATACTGTGGCAATGTCAAGTGCGGCAGCTTCGAGAAATGCGAAACAGATCGCAGCACCAAGCGGCCCAAATGCGTGCGCTCCTAACTCTTAGCCAACAATTGGCAACAAGTTTTTTTGTTTTTGTTTTTTTTAAATGCAACTATTAAATCCCAAATGTAATATTTGCCATTATTTTTTTTATTATTTTTCACTCACGGGTGCGGCTAGGGCAACGCTGACCAGCAGGCTGGCAAACAACACGAATTTGAACATTTTCTGTTTGTCTTGTTTTCTTTTTCGATGTGTAAGTTGTGGATGGGTTATTCGCGAGCTCTGCACGCTGCAAGTAGACTTTGTACTATGGCTTGTTGGCAGCCAGGTGGAGTTGCTTTTATAACACACTTGAGCACACACACACACACACACGCGCATACGGACAGCAAAGGTGGCAGCGACGCCGGCGCAGAAAGCGCGTCGTTTTGGGCTTTTGAATCTGGCTTTTCGGTTATGGGACAAGTTATTGTTGTTGTCGCTGTCGCTGTCGCTTGTGCATTTGAGATGCGATCTTGGGCTTTCTGTATTTCAAATTTGTACATTTTGCAATACTCACACGGCAACTGCAATTTGTCGTGCGGTCCAGCAAGAGCTCCTCCAGCAGCTGTCAGAAGATTGAAGATGGCATTGCATAAGCGCGCCTGGCTCAAGGTCACTTGGTCAGTTGCGTTGCGGTGCCCGAAATGTAACAATAAAAAAAAAAAAAAAAAAAATTTAAATTTAAAAAAAAAGGGGAAAAAACTTAACCAGTTTCGGCTGCTCCCTTTAGAGCTGGAAATACGCCCGATTTTTTTTTTGGTATCTTCTGTAAGTTGGTCTTCACTCTTATTGTTTATTTTTTTTGGGCATCTTATGTAATTTATGTGAAGTTTTTGTGCAAATTGAAAGCTTCGATGTGTGTGTATTATGTGTTTCTTGTTGCTGCCTTTGCTTGAATTTAATGTTTTTTTTTATTTTTTTTTATTTGCTCTTACGAGGAAGTAAGCGGAGCATTACGTTGACTGTGGGGCTCCCTTTTGAAAATGCGACGCCATAACAACTCAACAACGGCCAAAAGACTGGGACGGACTCTGAAACGGGGGCACAGAGACGCTGCCTGGCAGACTCGGGCAATGCAATTTTTTAAGTGCCCGCCGCGCACAGTGCGCCAAACGAGTTTTGGTAAAAACAAAAAAAAAAAAAAAAGAAACAAAGACAGCTGAAGAAGATTATACCAATATGTATTTACATCTTAAGTGGTTTTAAGAGGGTCGAGTTCTGGTTAGGTGACATAATGAAAACAAGATTATTTAAAGTTCGCATATGTGCATAGTTTATATTGGTAAATAGCTATTGAAAGGCATGCTTTGGTATATACCTAACTCTATGTGATACTAACGAAAAGCCCGAGATCGGTTTTATAATTCGCAACTGGTTTTCTCTTTGGTTTGGCATTGGATGTTTCCAGAATATCGGACTGTGTATCAGGCCATATTCATGATGAGTATTTTTGTGGATGTTTGCGATGCATAGTTTAAATGCTTCAACTATCATTTGAATTTAATAGAAAGTAACAGTAATCGGGCATTCGAATTCATAATTGTGAAATCAAGAAATGTCTGAAAACGTGACTCCGATCTTTAATAGAATATTCTTAATTATTTTCTGTACTTTAGCTGGCCAGCTGCATTTAGTATGCTGATCATGCTTATTGCATTTGGTGCTCCTTTTGGGCATAGCTCGTACCACTGTTTGTGGCACATCCGTTCGTTCCACTTTCGTTTCGCGGCTCTTTCCCCATTCACTTGGCTTGCCATGTGCTGAAGTTTTGTGGCCTGAAATGTTTTATTTTTCAAATGTTTACCGAACTGGCAATGGAGCATGAGTTTTCATATGTAACTAATATTGGAGTTTAGTAATTTTCTGTTTATGTTATTTTGTTTTTCTTGTTAATTCCGAAGCCACTGCACTGGCATGAATTCGTTTGATATCGCGGCGATTCGAAATAAAAGAAGACCGAAGATGAAAAACCCATAAAGACAAGTTTTGCTTAAGTTGTTGTTGTTGTCGTGGTTGTTATTGTTGTTGTTGTTGTTGTTGTTATTGGCGTTGTTGAAATCAATATAAAGCGCTCAAGGTGAGAGACCGCACCAAGTTGTCGTACACGCAACGCCCCACAACATCATCGCCATCGCCATCCTCATAATCATCATTAAAATTTCTGTTCGCATTTTACTGATAATTTTATAATTATATTTTATATTTTTTTGTTTTTGGCCCAATGATGGCCAATATACCGGCCAGGCAACCAGCTCAGAGCTTTGATTGATTACATTTGCCGCGTCTAGCCCCCATTCATAAGTCACACACACACACACACACACACACACACACACACACACACACACACACACACACAACACACGCACACTCGTTTTTATACGCCAACGCACACTGTGATAAATTAATGTCTCTATTTTGAGGCTGCCTTCACAAATTAGCACGCTAATTTGCATATGTTGGGCGCATCTGCAGCCTGGGCCCGGAGGGGCAAGATGCTTGACTGGGAGTCAACCTGGGACTCGCTTTCAAGACTTGGGTGTTACATTGACAAATTGGTCGGCTCACTTTTTTATCGCCGCTTTTATGCAAATGTTTTTTTTTATATATATTTATTCCGCGGCTCTTTGCCTGTGTTTGCAATGTGCAGTGGTTTATTTAGCTCAGGGCTGAAGCGATTTGACATTTTCAACAAAATATATTAATTATTTATAGTTTAAAAGCCATAGATAGTTATGCATTCAGCTCGCGGGATTAGACCTTTTTCGATGAGCACCCCGCCTTAGATTGACCTTTTCATATGCATTTCTATGTCTTTTTGATTGACACCGTCAAATGGTGTTTATAATGATTGGCAATAACTATGAAAGTTTTGCATAAATTATGCGCTGTAAGAAACTTGATTCCTTTGACAGCAATTAAAGAGTCTGCTCAGATCTGGCGAAATTCCTTAGTTGTTTCAATTAGTTAAATATATGTTAGTCGAATAAAATATATTAGTTCGAGGCATTGGTTCAATCAATCAACCGAATAGGCTTGAAGCCAACATTTTCAAGCAAATAATATTTGGCTATACGAAATGCAATGATGTCATTTAAAGATGACATGAGTAATGTGCATTGGTTTGATTGCATTGTTTTGAATCAATTTCAGGATTCGAAATTAGAATTTCATAAATTTGTATGGAGAGGTTTTTCAATCTTAGCTCTTAAAGTTCAAGAAGGCTGTGTGCTAAAAGTCAAACAAATTAAAAGCCTACTCAGGTGAGGTGCTCATCTTCTTACTTCTAAAACAACTATAAGTCTGGAATCATATTCGGATACTCCAATTAAAGACAATTTAAATATAATACATATATTATATATATATATAACAATTTTTTATTAGATACTTCTGCAGGCTGTGTTTCGATAGTTCAGGGACAATCCTGATCTTTGTGCAGAACTCAGTATTTCATTTGCTCAATTGCCTGAGCAAATATTTGGGCACTCCATTTGGCTGGCAGCCATACTTACGCACTAACCACCCAATCCTTGGAGCCCATTTTCAAGTTTTTACAGCTTATGTGACAGTCGCAAGAAAATAGCAAGATGTTGTGGGGAAAAGTGTGAAAAACGCAGCCTTTTTATATGCAAATGTGTGTCTGTGCATAATATGGTGCTTATTTTATTGCATTCCTTTGGCACGCACGCGGTCCCAAGTTTCTGGTATTAAATGTCCTATATAGTCGCCGGTTTTGGCAGTTGCTTGGGTTACGCATACGCCGCGTTGTCCTTGAAATGGGTTCGTGCTGTCATCGGCACCGTCAGCCGCTTCTGTTGCCAAGTGTGTGGACAGCTATTTTAGTGGCAACTGAACTGGAAATTTATGCGTTTGCATATAAATCTATAGCAGCGGCCTGTATACGCATATTTATTGACCTAGTTAAGTGTGCGTTCGAGCAAGTTAATAAAACGAAATAAATAATAAATCTCTGCGATTGCGGACAAGGTGTGAACATATTTACGCACATGTCATGTGCAAGAAAATTAATGCTAAACATGATGTGGCAAATATTAAAATAAATGTATATTTTCCGATTTTTCTGCAATCGCTTTAAGTGTGATTTTATCTATTATAATAGTTGGTAATAATATGTTTATATTCCCTAAACTGTCTCAGACAATTTTGCCATATTTTGTATTGGAAATTCGGACCTAAATGAAGCACCTTGCTCAGGTAGACCTGGACCCAGACCCAGCTCAAATAATAGTAAAATTGTTATAAGCAAGGAATAATAGTTAAAAATTTCTCACATTTCTTCTTATGCAGTGCCGTGTGTTTTCTAGCATTCCTTTTTTTTTTGTTTGTTGCCTGGCCAAACCAAGCTTCACATTTCCAGATACCAGATTCTAGTTTTTCGAGTGCACTTTCGGGCGCGTTGGCCATTTGTTGTCAGACTTAATTAACGCTTGACTCACTCATGTTGCATGACCACGCCCCGAAAGCCTTTGCACTCTCGACGCACAACCGCACTCACACCGGCACAGAAGCTTCGCAGTGGCATTGTTTCGAAACTAACGTTGTCTTTGTGTCTATTGTTGTTGTTTTGGTTGTATTGTTGTTGTTGCTGTTGTTCTCGCTGTTTGTTTGATAATTACTTTTGATAACTTATGTTGGTTGCCGCGCTTTCAGTTCTGCGTTTGTTGGTTCATTGTAGTTTGTTGTTGTGTTTGCCGCTTGCATATGGAGCCATTATAAGGCTTATCAGCAGGCAAGCACATAAGCCACAGCCTGAGCCACAGCCACAGCCACAGCCACAGCTGGGCTTTACTCCTCTTTTTTTGTTTTTATCAACTTTCTAGGTTAAGTGCTGCTCTAAGCTTTGGGGTAGGTCAGCACTAAAGCTGGTCACACTGCCAGCTGTAAAAGAGAAATGAAATAAAAAAAAAAACTTGTACCTTTACAAATTTTTAGACTAAACCAATTATCTGAAAGCCAAGATATGTGAAAAACCTTAGAATGGCATGTGCATACCTTTTTTATGGCATTGTAAATGTTACTTCAGTTATGTGCACAGTTTTTAAAGTTTTAAGAAATATTCGTATTGAAAAATCATATATTGTTCTCTTTGAAAATCTCGAAAAAGCCTTAGCACACTATTTTAAAGTGCTTTTAAACTTGAGTCAATTCTGATTTATTTAAATTTTCAAGTATTCTTATATTTATTACTTTAAAATGGTATACACTTTTTTAAAGGTAAATATTTGCTTGGGTGAAGAACAATAATCCTTCTCCACTCCAAAAATCTCAATTTAATATGCTCGTTTTTCTCACTGTGTACTTTAATTGTATATGCTACTTATTTATATTTTATGTTTCTTATTCCTTGCACATATTTGTTTTCTTTGTGGCATACCGCGCCGGTTACTAAATTACGCGAAACATAAAAAATGGCTTATACATATTCATGTTTAAGAATTTCGACGTCTTTAAATCAAAATTCAAGCTGAGCTTGCTGACAGCATTGACCCTGCTGCAGCTGCTGCAGACAGCGACATGTGTAATTGTGGCAGCAATTTAAGCTGCTGCTGCTGCTCCTGCTGCTGCATGCAACATCATCGCCAACCGGAAGCAAGTGTGCACAAGTGGCGTGCTTGGGATTGGATTGCAAAGCCAGGGGCTGGCCAGGGCGGTCGGGTCGGTGCAGGGGCAGGTGAGCCCGGGCAGCATTGAAAGTTCGTGCGTTTGGTTGTGGCTGTTGCAGTCGCTCTGGTTTATGCCTTTATTAAGCATCAAACAAAATCCAAAACGTCAAGGATATATGCTTCATACATAGTCAGCAGTCGCATCAGCATCAACAGCAGACGCAGTCGCATCCTTCACGTGTTTTGTATACAGATGCAGTCGAGGCAGCTCGCAATTTATGCACACAACTTGTCACACAGGTCGGGGCAAGACAAGGCAAGACAAGACAAGACAAGGCAGCGAGCAGAAGGGACGCTGGTTGTAGTAGTGCTCACACTGCATTGGTTAGCCTCAGAGGGGCAGAGTGGTGCTGAGTACATTGCAGTTGGGTGGTGCAATGACTAGGACAAGCAATTTACACCGCACAATGCGTTGACACACGTCGCCCGCAAATGTGCGGCTACGGGAAGCCCAAAGACAATGGGCAAGGACTCGAGATTACAGTGCTCAGTCTCCTTAGTCAGCTGGGTTGCATCATTAAACCTGAAAAGTGTCAAATGCCCAGCCACAACCACACACACTCGCGCACACTCACACGCACGCACACACAATGGACTATGAACTCAAGTGCCCAGCAGCTTAAATTGAATTGAATGCAGACTGCAGACTGCGACAGAGCTGCTGAGTCTGTTGTTAATCTAAGCCAGAAATTTACGACTGAGTGTTGAGCATGTGTCCTGGCGTCCTGGCGACGGCATCTCAAGCTCAAGCTCATAATTCAAACAGTGTTGACAATGAAAATGAAATTCCCATTAAAATGCAAATGTTGCAGCAACTCTCGGGCTGCATGCCCTTTCTCCAAACTTCCAGCACAGTCAGAAGAGGCTAGCTATTAATTTTGCTGCTCCGGCTGCGGCTGCTGGACGCAATGCGCATAAGGCAAATGTTTATATGGCCACAGTATAAACATTGACAATTTGAAAGCCCTGCCTGGTCCATGAACCCGGACTGCTCGACGGGCTGCCCGCTGAGCCAGGCAAATGACATTGAAACTGCCATCGGGATGGGGTTCAATTCTGACTGTTGACTTTGCTGATGATCTGGACTTTAAATTTATTACAGCTATCACGAGAGATTGCTAATGCAGCATATTTCATTCAATTTGAAATTTTAATTAAATTCACTAATATTCAATTTAACTCGCATTAGGAACGAAGCATTCGTTTGATTTGATATTACTTAACAATAGTTTGATTTATGGATTTTTATACTAACGCATTTTTAAATACTCTTTAAGATGCAAAATGCTTTTGTGCACATGTATGTTACAGGAAGAAGGGGGAGATTTGATATAAAACACGCAAAAATTTTAAAATCTTTTCATTTATAAATAGAAAGCGTTCTGATATCCCGACTTGAGCCACATATTATTAAACTTTATTATTTATAAATTATACATTCTCTTTCAAGTTTTTTTTTTTTTTTCTTTTTGGTTGGTTTTTACCAAACGTTTAAAGTTCTTCGACAACTTTGCGTTCATTGTCACATTTAATTTTTGTGTGTCAGCGACTTGTTTGCGCTTAACAGAAATTTTGAGTATATTAAAGCAGTTGTGTATTTTTGCGTTATCATAAATTTTAGTGATATTGGGCCACACCTGAAATGGTCATGACTCACTGAGCCATTCACAGCGTATTTTGGTCTTAAAATCTTACAACTCGGAATCTTGTTAATCCCGGGCGAAGGCTTTGAAATTGCGTGCGCCTCTTTTGATCGTTTTAATGTTTAACATAAATCGTTTATTTATAGCATTTTTTATTTATTTATTTATTTATTTATTAATGGTCGACAAAACGAGTGTCTTCCTCATTATTCAAAATTGTATAATATAATTATATGCTAAAAGCCTAGTTAAAGGATACAATTTTCTAAATAGCATCACCGACCGATGGAGGTGTTTTATTTGCCAGTCCGGCCAGCTGTGCCCCTTTTCACAGCTAATTTTGTCAGTGACGCTATTAGAGCCTACATCTAAGCAGAAGGTTGTAAGTAGGAAAAAAGTGATCTCAAGTGAAATTAAAAATAATCTTAATTTGCTATATTAATAAAGAAAATACAATAAATAGGAAAAAAGAAAGTAAGAAAATTGTTAATAAAGTAAAGCAATGTAAGTTAGATAAAGAGTGTTAAGTGGATAGGACAAAGAGAAAAGTAATGGGAAATCGCCGACACGGTGGGGGAAAATTTTTCAGCCTGTCCGGCTAGCTATGCCCCTGCTCATAGCTGGGAATGGTCAGCGACTTCCCGAAGGTATCCTGAAAGCAACGATTTTATTAGGGGTAGAGACAGTTCGGTAGAGAAAACGTGATGTAAACTATTATAATTTTTACATAGCACGCGAAAAGAATTGTGCATAGCGTAATCAGTTGTGCACGTAGATAGTAATAAGGGGGGCGTTCGTATCTGGCGTTCGTATCTGGCAATATGCCACAGTTAGCTACACACCGCACACATCCAGCCCTTCATCCATTTCCACTCATAACAAACATTTGCTGTAGCAACAGAGGAAAAATTTCGCCTGGAGGCTAAAAACTTCTTCCTGTCGCGAATGTTGCCTTTGCCATATTCTATGTGTGTGTGTGTGTGTGTGTGCGTGTGTATGGAAAGAATATTAAATTTTATTTGCATAGCATTCGAGAGCTGCGTCTTTGTTGCTGCTGCATAAGCAAAAAAGGCGAACTTAAAGCGAATATCCAAAATCATAAAACCAATGGCAAATTGCAAATTGAATATCCTGTTGATTTTCCACAGCACTTACAGTTGCGGTTGATATTGTTCTAGTTGCATGCTGAAGGCCACGCACAGATTACTTTGTGTCGTAGTGGAAAATTATGCTAAAATCATTCAGCTTAAAGATAACAACTGCTCAAACAGGAAAAGTCGAATTGCAATCAGTGGGCGTGGTTGCTGCAAAAAATAAAATAAAATAAGAACGCTGTAGTCGAGTGTACTCGACCTAAGAATCCCCTGTACCTAATACTGTCATACTAAAGCTAGCTACTACACCTTTGGAAATTTCATGTCGAATATATATAATTATATACATATATATAAATTATATTAATATGGCATTTATTTTATTATTAATGCTCTCTAGCATTTGTAGTTTTCGACTCCGTTCGACGTCCTGATAAAGCAAATATATACCTTATGGGGTTGGTTCTGCCTCTTATTAACATTTCCACAAAACCATTACACCTCTTTAGACATTTTCAATAGCTACAGGGTATGAACTCCTTGACGAAATTTGTCTTGAAACCATATTGCACACAGGATAACATATTTTCCGGCTGAGCAAACAGTAGCAACAGTCGGGCTTCAAGGATTATGCGTAAAATTTAAGCGCAAAACTGAATTTTGTGTTATTTTATATTTTTTCTTGTTTTATTCTTGCAAGCAAATCAGAAAACGAAACATTGGAGTTGTTTTATGTTTCTTATTATGCGTTTGGTTTGGCGCACAAATTGAATTCCGCGCACTCACACACACACACACACACACACATCTGACACATGCTTGGAATCTGAGTATTTGTTGGCCGTGCCACGTGCCTTGTGCGAACTTTTGGGACTCAGTTTAATATGGATATCCTGTATACAAAAAACAGACTCATAACATGTGTATCAGATAAAATCCATTCGAACTGCAAAATCTTCAACATATTTCGAGTACATATTGTAGTAGTACGAGTACGTTGTAGTTTCGTGTTTCAAATGAAATACAGGGTATTCTTTACTCTTATATATTCTCTTATTTTGTTTGTTTGCTGTTGCGTGCTTCAAGTGTCTGTTTTCTTGTCGCTTTGATGTTTGCAAATCGAATTTGGCGCAGTGTAAGAATCAGGAGCAAAGCTTCCGCGCAGCCTCCTGCAGCCGCACGCAAAGTTTTCGCCCCATCAAGTATACGCAGCGTTGATTGGATTTCACGCTGTCCACTGACCGCCTGCATATAATAATCATTTGTATTTAAAGCAGCAGCAGCAGCAGCAGAAGCTGTCACGCGCCAGCCCTGGACCCAGTCCGCCTTCCATTCCCCTCTCCGCCAGCGCCTCTCGAGGCAAAGTTTTGTGTGACACTCTATGCTTGGCGTTATCCTTGGCACGTCTGCGCGGCGCCTGTCATGCAAGGCAAACCTGACAAGCTGTGGCAGCTGACAGTAGATGTGTGCACGGTTATGGGTAAATGCATATAAGAAGAGATTGTGCATGACGTTCTTTTAACACCTTGGCTGCAACAGCCCGCTCCTATTGCCACCCTCAGCCAGCAGTTCCCCCATTTGTAGCCATAATCGTTCACATCCAGGTCATAAAAGACAAAATCAGAGCATAGCACAACAGTTCCATGTTCCCCAAAGAGAGTGTTGTGTACGGCGTGACCATGTGGCCCGCATCAAACCACAGAAGTGGCCGAACCAGTTGTGGGTTGGCGACGGCATGTGGGTAAAATTCAAAAGGCTATCAAGTAACCGCGAAATGGACAAGCAAATCGTCAATACCTCATTTAGTGGATGCTTATATGGCATAAGTAAGAAATAGGTTTCGATTTGCCTTCAAGAAAATATATAGAAACTGTGACCATAAGAGATCTCTCTCTCTATGATTAGATAAGTATCTGGTTCACAGAGCTGGAAGATCATTTGACGAAACATCTAAATATAATCTAGCAAACTATAATATATAATATTTAACTAATGATTTCTGCTCTATAATATAAATATGGCTAGATCAGGACTTTTCTTTCGCTGCTCGTGTCAATGTGAATTTATATTTATTTTTTTTTTTTCCGCGGGGAATTTAATTGCAGCCAGAAAGCAGAGTATATATCATATTTAACCTTTGCGTAATGGATGCCAGAGAGGTCGCAGGGGACCTGTCGGCGTGTACCATATACCTCCGCCCCTCACTCTCTCGCTCAGCGGAAGCAGCGCATTTTTCTAAGTGCAAAACAAGGAATAAGTTGAATACTCCAATCTGCCACAGCATTCCGGCGTTCTTCTGCTTCTTCTTGTTCTACGGGCATCCATGAATGTGCCATGAAATAAAGTCGTCCAACCAACTAAAAGTGACGTCATAAATTTTGTAGCTATTTAACGAAGGGAAAAGTGGAAAGTGGGCGGAGTAGTAAGTGCACAAGAAGCTGATTCAGAGTTGTGGGCTGCTCCTTTGCCGCAATCCGTTGTCTAGCAACTAATGAATTTATGTTGTTGTTGCCACCGATGCTGCCACTGATGCTGCAAACTTTAAGCAACAGCCATGATTGTTATGTGGTCTGTTTGAGCGCCCTGCGCCGTTGAGTAATGGGGCGGGTTAGTCAGCTTGGAGCACGCTGCTCTGTGCAGCATTATGCTGACTCCTTATGCCAAAGAGCAGCCACAAACTTGCCGAAAACAGATTTACGTGGGCGTGGCCCGGAATAAATCGAATTCCTTCATTAGCATGCAGCGCTACAGCGCACAATTCATCAAAGTTTTGCCCATAGTACGCGAATTCGCAGCAGCAGCCGCACCAGCTGCAAAACACCTAAAAGTATGCTCTGATTATATAAAAAAGTCCAGCGTGTGCATGATTGATTAACTTTCGTGGGCGTTTTCCTGTAATTTAGCATGAAACGGACAAATGCACAAGAACTAAACTCAGCAACTAACTGGAACTAAGAATCCAATCGACGTGATGTTACCTCGTGCATCAGAAAGTCCATAAAATGAAGACTTTCATGCTCAACAATTTAAGATCGGCTTACCTCAAATTTATAAACAATCAAAGAACACTTTATTAAAAACTAACTATAAACAATAATCCTAAGCCCTTCTACAATTCATGTGCCGCATTTAAGTTAACAGGATTTGCGCAGAAGAGATTATATTTTGGAGCCGAGGCTTAAGCCAAGGCTCTACCCTAAGCTAGGTGCACCTCTTTGTTATACCCTGTCTGTTAAGTCTTTTTTGTTATGCACACAGGGTATTAAAAAATGCAAAAGGGAAACGCAAGCAGCAGCAGGCGACGTGGACGATGACGACCAGGAAGTCTGACACTTAATTAGAACTGCCGGAAACGGAAACGAAATGCATGACCATGGCAAAGGGGCTGCTTGTCGCATGCAACTTCTGCTGGAGATGGAAAAAATGCCTGAACTAAATGAGAAATGAAAATAAAATTTAATTTGGCTTAAATTGTTTTTAGAAATGGCAGAGAATTCTTTTTATTGACAACGGATTTGGTTTTTGTTCAATTTATAACGATAAATGATTGTGAAAGAAATTAAAATTTTGCTTTGAGAAAAACTAAAATTAATTTTCATGCAATTTTAAACTAGAAATATATATGAAAGAATAATAAAAAATAAATAAGCTAACAATCAATTTAGTGATGTGACATACACAAAAATGGAGCCTCGACGTAAAGTCACATATTATATATAAATATATAGATGATATATTTCATATATCATATTAAGATGTTAAGTCAAGCCAAGCTTAGAGTATTATGAATGATATTTATAACCGACTGACAAGGCACATCTCTAGAAGCAGCTGTTGCTGTTCCACTCTCACACACACACACACACACACACACACGCCACGCACACGCACACACACAATGACACGTAGCTGCTCTCTAACAACAACAACAAAAATGCAAGTGCAGCATGCAGGCTGTGACGACAAAATTAAATTCTACACACAAAAGTTGAGTGCGGCTGCTGGGAACTGCAATTTGTTTTGAGTTGGCAGCCGTCTAGTCTGAGTTCTTTATATGATGAGAGAGGATGCTTCAAGTGCTCGTGCTGCAGAATCTATTTTTTATTAGCCCTTCGCTGATTTCATTTGCATGCAAGTCAACCCGAACAGGGCAACTTATAAAGCCATAAAGACAGAGGGAGACGGAGAGTGAGAGCGGCAGTGGCAGCAGTAGGAGCAGCAGCAGAAGCCGTGACGGAACAGCTGCCTGGCATATTTTGTTGGGGTTGTTGCTTATGTGGGGCCACATCATAATTGCGGGCGGTGGGGTAGGATGCGGGGGCGCATGGACATGGACGGCATTCCTGTGCATAATTGAAATTCCAGCCTAAACGCGTTTGTAACGGGAAATTGCGCGGTCCAAAAGGGCGACCGGAGCTCGAGCCGGAGACGGATGCGGATGCGCCAGGCAATGTCCAAAAAATTTTGTTTTTTGGTGGTCTCTGCAGCGGACAGCGTGTTTGTATTTGCTTATGTACATAATTACTTTCGTGCGTTCAACACACATAAAATAATGTTGAGCAAATAAACAAAAATGCTCTCCAGAGTGTAATTAAACATACATATGTATGTACATATGTATGTATGCATGCATGCATGTTTGTGTATGCATGCGCATGGGTATGTATTCAGTTTAAATCATGTATTTGTTAATGCAATCAATTTGACCAAACAATTAATATTGTGCAGATGCATTTGTGTAGTTGTATAATTACATTTGACAAATACCCGCCGCTCGAGGGAAAACATTTTGAGCCTTCCATTGCCTACATGCCCATATGCACATGCACACACACAGTCAGCGAAATGCACATGCATGCTACAAACACAAAACACCGTGAATTGTTGAATCAGACAAACAGCTGATCGTATGTCTGCATGGCGTTGCCACCTAATTGCGCGCACAATGTTGCGTGCGTTGTGCGCATGTCTTCGCCTTCCAGGAGCTAAAATAATGGCTTTCCAAGCAAGGCTCGTTGGCCAAAGACACTAACATGTCAATGGCAGTACACGCCGAGCCTTCAAAACGCATCCAAGTGGAGCGCGCATAAGACGGTGCGGCAAAAATTGATATATTCTTTGGCCGCGCACTACGCGCAGCGCTAAGCGTAATAAAGCGTGTTGAAAACTTAGCTAAAATGCGAGAATAGTGAATCAAAAATATTGGCATTAGTAGCTCATAAAATATCATTTGCATATTTCAATAATAATAATATTAAAGGCTAAATATAATTTGTTTAAAAGTTAACGTCTGGCCTGGCTCTGGCAACGCTTGGCAACTCTGTCAATGTTTTGACAGTTGGTTAACGCTCTCACACACGCTCTCTCAGTCAGTGGCTCTCCGCTGCTGAAAATGATTCGTGTTGCGTTGTGTCGCGTTCGCATTGTTTATAAAACAAATTAATTATATTTATTATTAGTTTAAGTGGTAAAGTGGTTGAAATTGTGCAATGCAGCTGCACGCGCCGCGCAAATGCGTAAGAGCATGAGATATGCTAGCTGCCAAGTCGTCGTCGTGGTCGTCGCTGCCGCTGTCGACGCCGAACTCGTCGCGCCAGCTAATGAAAAATATACGTAGAGAAAAATGCTTAAATATATTATAAAAAATTGAATCAAAATAACCAAAAAGTGGCGTCAAACGTTTAATATATGTATATGTGTGTTCAGTTCATGCAAGTGAAATGTGTATGGAAAAGTTGCGCGCAAAGACGTCGCGACCAACAGCAGCAACAACAACAACAACAACAACAACAACAGTACCAGAGAAAGAGAGAGAGATAGAGAGCGCGAGAGAGGGGCTGCTGCGGCGACCGTAACAAACCCAACAATAACAAATAAAAAGAAACAGAACAAAATGCGCTTAGACTAAGGAAGAAATAATAAAGAAGCATCACTTGCTTAAACGCCCGCACCCCTCCCACCCGTAAGCAAACGACTTACCAAATTAACTTCTAGTGGATCCAGCACCAAAACATCACAAAACCCAGCAGCAAACGCAGCACCCAGTCAGCACCCCAGCTGGACTCTTGTCAGCATGCAGGCTAAAAAGCGTTACATACTGGTCTTTGTCTCGTGCGCATTTCTGGCCTATTGCTATTTTGGCGGCTACAGGCTGAAAGGGGCGCCGCATCGACCACGGCGCGCCCAGCACGAATCGGCCAAGGATGGTGGTGTTCAACCGTACGCACAACTGCCCAGCTTTATGGGCTATGAACAACGCCAGCCGCTGTCCAATGAGTCGACGGCTGTTGCTGTCGCTGCCAAAAAGAAGCCGCCAGCGGCTGCTTGCCGCATGGAGACGTGCTTCGATTTTACCAAATGCTATGATCAGTTTCTGGTCTACGTTTACCCGCCGGAGCCGTTGAACTCGCTGGGCGCCGCACCGCCCAGCTCGGCCAACTATCAGAAGATACTCACTGCCATACAGGAGTCGCGGTATCATACCAGCGATCCCGCCGCCGCCTGCCTCTTTGTGCTGGGCATCGATACGCTGGACCGCGACTCGCTCTCTGAGGATTATGTGCGCAATGTGCCATCGCGTCTGGCGCGCCTGCCGCATTGGAATAATGGACGCAATCACATCATCTTCAATCTGTATTCGGGCACCTGGCCGGACTATGCCGAGCACTCGCTTGGCTTTGATGCCGGCGAAGCCATTCTGGCCAAGGCCAGCATGAGTGTACTTCAAATGCGTCACGGCTTCGACGTTAGCATTCCGCTCTTCCACAAACAGTTTCCCTTGCGCGCCGGCGCCACCGGCTCTGTGCAGTCCAACAATTTTCCCGCCAACAAAAAGTATTTGCTGGCATTTAAGGGCAAGCGGTAAGCCAAACGAGAATAATTAAATCTACATTTACTCACTCCAATTGCTCAATAATCATATGATACCAACATTAGTAATGTTTTAGTACCCAGCAAAAATGTATCCTGTACTCTGTACTAAAGTAACTAGTGTTTCTATTGGCACGTCTTTTCTATACGATATTAAGAATCGGCAATTTAACATGAATCTTATAGCCTTATTCCACTTTTCACATTTCTAACATATTTGCGTATGTAACATTTTTTGCTAATGTGAAATATGTTGCCCGTACGTTCTCAAATTAGAAACAACATTTTGCATATTTGCAAAAAATCTTACATTTTCTATCATTTTTGGTATTACGCTTGCAAATGGAAACGCCAAATGTTGAGTTTGTAACATATTTTGAGCATAGTGGAATCAGTCTAATATTCTCAAGTTAAAATATTTTTCAACTACAGAAAATCTTATTTGGTTCTGTCATCATCAGACATTGCTATTGACTCAGGTCTGACACACTGTCAGTCCTATTCAGCTTAAACTTGTTGCGAACTTTAACGCCCCAAGCGACGAAAAATAGCAAAGGCGACCAAAACCGTCTTTTTGTTGCATGCAATACATATTTCAGAGTCGACTTGACTGCACTACTACATAAATTATAGACTTGTGTGTATCAAAAACCTTGTATACCCTTAGCCATTTAACATGACAATAAAGGGTATGATGAGTTTGTGCAACGGTATGTTTAAAATATAGGTTACCATATCCGACCCCATGACCTGTATAAATTTGTAATCAGCACCAAAAGTCGAGTCGATCTGACTTTAAAATGCATTTATATTTATGCTAGTTAGTATAAATCATTAATGGGTTGAAAGGTTTAAGGCTTGGCTTAAGCGACAGATGCATTTTGTGGAGTTTATGGCTTAGGGTATTTCCTAGTCGGGTATTCTTGTTTTAATCTGTTTCCTAATGAATAAGTTAAATAACATTCATATCATTCAGTAATGTTACGCTTGTCTGCGAATATATTCTCGACAATGGGAAGATACTTTCCCTTTTTGTTTTAATTATTTAATACATTTTTAATATATACACATGAATACTTTCTTTAGTTAAACTAGTTACAATGCCATGCGATTGTCACATTGAAGACAACTAACGAGACTCTGCTTAGACTCGGACTACTTAAAATGTTGTTTTTCATCCAAAATAACAAATCAGCGTTTTGTTAGTCACCTCGCACTAGTTACTCACTTCGTAGGAGTCACTTCTCTGAAGTAATGTAACTTTACTTGCAGTTTGCTCGTTTATCGAGGGGTGTTTGTTTTTTTTTTTTGTTTTTTTTTGGATACAATTTTGGACCAAGCACTGACCCTAAAAACTTCATTTCATTCCATTTTGTTTGTTGGTTTTTTATTTTTTTTTTGTCCTTGTTAGGTCCAGTCAGGCGGCAAATTGCAGGTTGCAGCGATCGATTGCAATGCCAGAGAACTGGTCATTCCCAACTTTTGGTGCCATCCAAATTGAAAAATTGTCTAGCAACGCGTCCCATTCATCATGTCCCGTGGCTCGTCCTCGTGTTCGCATTTCTCCATGTTGCCCGTCCAGCTTTTGTTGCGCTTTTGTTTGTCTTCGCTTTATTGTTGTTTACTCGCTTGTAGCGCCCACTTTTGCCACAGGCGCTTCTTTTGACATGTAACTCGATTCAATAGCAGTGCCTCAGGCAACAAGACCAATCGACAGGGCGCCGGGCGGCCGGACAAGAGGAGTCAAGTACACTGCGAGAAAAAAAACCTACGAAATCATTATTTAATTCGTGACTGAAAATCGTTTCGTTTTGTCACATAATTCAGATTTATAGTGTTTAAATTAAGACAAAAATATTTGTCTTTAAATGTCATACTGTCTCTCAAGATGAATCCCATTTTTTTTGCCCGTGTATGACCTCTGGCTTATTGTTTGTCGCTGCTTTTGCCTTCATGTGGGAGTCAGCACCTGCGCCTGACGACGTTGAAACTGGTCAGCCGTGGTCCCCGTGTCCTAGGTCCTGCCGCATACATGAGCTCATTGCGTTGTAATTTAAAAATTGATTTTTGCTGTGCAGGACAACTTTCTGGCAAAGTTTATAATATGTTTTGCTGGCAACTGGGGACTACCCATACTTAAAGGACGTTATTAATTGAAGTGGCGCAACGCACACAATTAACACAGCGAGTGGTAGCAATTAATAAATTTATGTACAAAAGGACAATGGAAATACGTCGTCAACGTCCCGCTTGCTTTTTCTGATAATTCAGAACGTTTAAAATGAAGCCATCAGCATGCAAAAATGTGTGTGCGCGTACGCTGTGTGTGTGTGTGCACTTAAGTTAACTGCGGCTTGTGGGTGGCAGCCACTGGGACGACACGGGCGACATTCGCCATAAGATTAACACAAGCAGCCAACAACAACAAGCACAACAACAACCATGGCAAACAGCAGCTGGAACACGTTGGAGGGCACACCAAAGTGATGTTAAAGTTGTTAATAACACTCGCACACATCGTACAGACACACACACATACACTCACGGATTCGTGAATGACTCCTGCGCGGGCGTTGGAGCTGGACACATGGACAATTAAAAGCGAAAGCAACATTACATGCGGAGCCACTTTACAATTTTGTTAACCTAATGACAAACCCAACACAAAGCTGTACGGCCAAGAGTTACACTACAGTTTTGATCAAAATAGTAGAAATATATAAAAAATAAATATATATATATATATATAAATATATAAAAAGCATATAAAAAAAATATATAAATAGTAATAATATCAAATATTATGGGTAGATTACAAGCACACGACAGGTTTTTAGTCTGGCACACTTTTTCGCCTATTTTCCACCTGTGTGCGTGGATTTTCACATAGCTGCAATGCAGAGCTTTTATAACTATTATAATTATGGCCCACAATATGTGGCATGTGTTCAGCTCTCAGACGTAGTCTACATAAGAGATCCTATCCACATTATATTATGCTTAAAGTTCGTTTAACAGTCTTCCATTTGTTTTTGAACTCTCTCAGGTGAACTTTTCAAAGATCTCGTCTGAGCACTTATACATTAATAATATTAGTGGAACTTTTATAAAAAATTCTCACACGACTATCCATGCTGCTGCGTATGCACAACTACGGAAGCTGTGTATACAGCTCTAAACACACTCCGCATAAGAGACATAAAGTCTCCAACACACACAAATAGCCACACACACACAAACACACAGATATATATACATAAACGACGGGTGGGGATGCCCTTTGCGACTTTGCTTTTCTACGCAACGATGAAAAGTTTTTCTTTTCGCATTTAATTGCTGCTACTCTCTCTCTCTCTCTCTCTCTCTCTCTCTCTCTCTCTCTGTCTCTCTCTCTCTCTTTTCTATCTTCAAGTGAAATTTGTGTGGCAGCTTGCTGTGAGCTAATCTGCGGTTGGGAAGCTGCATTTGCCACTTGGCAGCTTTGCATGGGCGTACCATCAATATGATGATCCCACAAGCTTACTTCACTGATAATCAAGCTGGAAATGACTCGCTATCAGCTAACTGAGCGTGTTTAGACATTTCATTAGCGAAAGTTGCTGCTTATTCAGCTGACTCACATACAACAATTTATTGATAACATGTTGCTGGTGTAACAAAAGTTTTAATAGCTCAAACAAGTCGTGCTTTTTTTATACTCTAACAATGGGTATGGGTTGTCGCATTGTGAATAGTTTTGTATGGTTATTAAGGCATTTCTCATTCTCTTTCTTTTTTTTTTATAGCATACATTTTTGCCTTTTCAGTTTCCATAAAAATATCGTACAGCTATCGAAAATACTTACCGAACTCAAGATTTTGCACAGGCTCGATTATGTTTTGTGTAGTTTGATAAGAAACCAGACTAGTATTTCTTGTGTGCAGGGTTAGTCATAGGAGAAAACTTTTTGCATTTCACAGTTTTTATAAATAAACTCAAACGATGTGATATGTTATCTAAGTAGGACTACCTTTCAATTTGACTGTTATCAAAATACGATTGCCAGACAATTCATGAGTTTGTTATTAAATTTAGGCACTTTAAGTTGAACAGAATTCTCAACTAGTTGATTAAGATTGAAGATCGAAACATTATAGCATAAATTGCATTATTTTTGATTATTCTGTGAAAGAAAATTTGATATGTTAATAAGTGATTGCTATAGGAACTACATTTTGTGATATGTGAAAATGTTTTCCAGATGCTTACAAATTCTCTCTCTCATTTTATAAGCTACCTGTCTCACACACTTATTTACTTACTTACGTTATTTACCCATGACACAATTGCCTTAATTCCTCAACTCTTCATGATTAGCTTTTGCTACACATTGATGGATTGACATATGTTCTCTGTTATTTTATGACATGGCGAGTGACTTACAGTAAATGGAAATCAATTTGGCAACAATTTGTATTTTACTCCCCAGACATTTGAATTCACTTTTATACCCGACATACGGTGAGAGAGCAAACTAAACTTTCACACCTTAACCCAAACTGTGTGGCACGACTTGAAAGTGAATGCTTGCCACAGTTGCCCCAATGCTTCCTGTCACGTTCCCGGCTTCTTATTAACTTTTTATATCTGAGTTCATGATGTGTGAATTTCATATGCTCGATATATACAAACAGCTATTTCCACCCTTCGCTACAACCTCAGGCCAACCTTTTGTCGCATTCCCAACACTAAATAAAGGAAAATAAAAAATAAAAGCAGCGACAACTTGGAAACAAGTTTTTGAATTGGTTCAGTTATTTTGCAGTTGTTTTTTTGCAATTAGTTATTTGATTGGCGCATATTTTTTTTCCTTCTTGCAATCTGGGATGACTTTTTAGTTAGTTGCGCTTGTTTCCAATATTTCTGAAAAAAACTATTGCTAAAGTTGTCACATTCAATAGATTCAACAAAAAGATTAGAAACATTTTATAATGGCAAGATAATAATAATCATTTTAAAAGAATTGGATATAGAAGTATTTTCGTAAAGTTCAATAGTTTATTTCGATATCCCAAACTGAAAATATAATAAAAAAAAAATAATATATTTTAACATTTATTTATGCACTCCAATTTGTTCTCCAAATTACTCTAGACTTGAAACGTTATTGCGGGGTATTTTTTTTCGTAAAAGCATACCCCTTTACAATTTTCCTCTGCATTATTACGGCTGCTTTCAGTAAAATTCTTTCTGCTCATTAAAAGCAACTTCGCTGGAATAGAAATTCATTACCTTTTATTCACAACAAAGCAAGTCGCTGAAGAACGGGCATGGGGCGGGAATTTCGAATTCGTTGAGCGATTTGATTGACTGGAGGCAGCCAAAAAATGTTTTCCAGCGGTCGCAGAATTTCTACAATATACTTGAACATTTGCTGGCTGCGAGCTGAATATTGCTTTTGGGCTTTCTGGCATTTCGCATGCAGCTCATGTCGATGGCTCCTATCAGAGAGGGTGCTGGTTAAATGGACCGTTGGGTGATTGGGTGGTTGGGTGGTTTTCTGTTGGGCTCCCCCGCGTTGTACGGGAGCCTTCAATGCCAATTGCATTTTGTAGAGCACATTTTTGCGCTCTTTCAAATTGCTCAAATCAATTCGATGCGGTTGCATTTCGTTGTAGTTTCTAAAATCAGCTTTGGATGCCAACACCACCCCTCATTGGCCATTTCACATTCCGGCAATTGACTTAATTTATTTTTAGCAAATCCGTTGTAAGGGGGCGTGCCGGTTACCAAATATTTGCCCGTATCTTTTACTTTTCAAGCGTGAAATAGAAGCAATAAAAATGTGCAGCAGAAAATATAATTTCGCCCTGAAAACCTATTAAAATGGTTTATGAGAAATGCACATAAATCTGAAATAGATCAAAATAAAAAAAAAACTTTTACAATTTACAACAGTTGGAAATGAAAAAAATTTTGAAGCAGTTTCAAAAATCAAACAAGTTCTCTAAATAAAATAATATTCCTAATAGGCCAAATGAAGCCATAAATATGTCACCCTGCTCTTGGCAATTATTGGCCGTAATTTCATTTGCTGCCTTGAACTGTCATCAATCGCTTTCGGTCTAATAAACTTTTAGATATTCCTTATCCATTTATTGGCGAAATGCTTTTAAAGTTAATTTGCCGCCACGCCGCTGTCTGTGAAACACATAGAACATAAAAGATTATTTATTTATGCTCTTCAAGTTGATTTTCATTTGGGTAAAGCAAACGGGGCGCATTCCGCTCACGACACCCACGCTCCGGCTATGCCGAAAGTTGTCACTTATGGCGGCAAATCTGCATAAGAATACACATAGCTTGAAGAAAAATGCGAGTTAATGTCATTCAGAAAATGGCCCCGACGACAGCAGCTGAAATTTGAGACAATTTAGCAAGAGTTTTAAATTGCTGGCGGCTGTCCAGTTCGCTGGCTGCTTCAAAGTCCATCAAATGGGACATTGTATCGTTAGATAAACCCACATTCTAGACAGAATAAAATGCTGGGCGCGTAATGAGTTTTTTTTTTGTTTGCTCCGCGTGATAGATCGCAATATTTCACACGCTTCGAAGCGAAAGGGAGACAGGGAGAGAGAGAAAGGCCCTGCACTGAAACGCTTTAAACTGTGGCTCAGTTTCTAGTGGCTTCTGGTGGTTGCAGGCAGCGGCACGTGCCGCCAATAAGGAAATAAATCGCATAAACTGTTTGAGCCGCTTACACGTCATAAGTAAAAGTGCCAACTCGGCAGTTGTTGTGCATGTGCCTCCTATTGGGGCGGGTTGGCAGTTTGCCCCGAGTTGCTCGGGGCAGATAAGGTTACGACCAGCTACTTCTCTGGTTATTGGCATCCAAACACTCAATGTGTAGCCCACAATCAATTTCAGGCAATTTCTTAAAGCGTAAAACGCCTTGTCTTTGCCAATAAAAGTATCGGGTTGTGTGTGTTGTTGTGCCCCATGAGATGGCCACAGGACTCACATAGAATCAATGGAAATTGCTTTAAGCGGGCAGCATTTTCTATTTGTATTACGAAAATGTTCGGTATATATTTGAATTATGTGAAATTTGAAACTTTTTTTATTGCCTCAAAAATTGTTTAATGCTCCATTAAGTGCTTAAAAATGATATGCCTATATTCAAACGTTATGATATGTGTGCTTTTTTTACAGGCAGATAGAAGGAATCACTATTTTGTTAAGCTGCTATTAGTGTTTATTATGGCTAGCCCAGGTTTCCCAAGTGTATCAAATTCCGACTATTATATTATACACGCTCCTTAGGATAGATCAGAGAAAATAATCTATATTACAGGCTAATCTATATTAAGTAGAGTGTTGCCTTAATCACAAATGTCCTTTACAATATCCTTTAAAGTAGCTGCCATACAAGTAGCATATATTTCTACGAACTCCTCATGCAGCCATTTATTTTATTAGCAAGTTATCGAAGCTTATTAACATTCCACAGTTTCGCAAGCCAAAAAGTTGATCCGCCTAGTTTTGGGCCCTCAACTAGTTTTGGTTCTTAGAATGCAAACAACAAATGAATTATAATTCAATTGCGCTTAATTGAGTGGTGCGACTAGTCAAGAGAAACCACCACAACCACCAGGCCACAACCACCTAGAAATAATTCGCATTTCATTATGTGATTATGTTTCCACATAATGCTTTGCCCCAGTTTGGACCAAGTCCAGCTGGGTAAGGCGAAAGGAAGCGATGTAATAAAATAAAATAAATTTAATTGTAATTTAATTTGATATTGCGGGCGGGCAGCTGGGCAGGGATCTGTGCGTTTTGCCGCACATATTTGGCCTAAATACGAGGCGGTTCCTCAAGTGCCATACCAAGCCACCCAAAATCCCACAGAGATTCCAGCTGCTGCTTGTATTTGTTTTTGTAATGCCAGAGTAAAAATATTTTTTTAATTATGCCTATATATATATATGCGTGTGTGTGTGTGTGTGTGTGTGTGGGAGTTGTGTGTTGGTTTTTTCACTTGGCTGCCAACTGCTGCTCCTGTACTGTGTCCCCTTTCCGCCCACTTTCATTTTTCAGCTGCTTTCCTCTGCTGTTGCGGTCTGTGTCCGTGCTAAATGCGCATATGGCGCGAAATGAATTTTGCACGGAAAAAGAACAACAATTTACACACAAATACACACACCCACACACACACATACACAGCTGAAATAATAATATGTCATGTGTGCACTTTTGAACCTGCCCGCCCAACCCACTCGCAGTTGTACCTCCAGCTGCTGTTATGCATTAATTTTTGTTATTATACTCTCAATTCGACAAGGTATACATGCGAATCATGACAGTTTATGCAACAGTTCATGATATATAAATATTTAACATTTGTTGGATGTCTTTAAGGTACATTTGATCTACTTTCACAAGAATTCAAACTAATCTACAGTTACAGAAAATGTCTATGTCTAGGCTAGGCAATATAAACAGTATTTTCCAAGTGTTATACTCTTTCCCCTTTTAATACACAACGTAAAGCCAGTAACACAAAAATGTTGCCTACTTTTTGGGGCGCTTGTTTTAAATTTATGCGCCTGAAAGCCCATGAACATAAACTATAGATGCTCTTGGCGTGTTAATATAATTATGATAAAATGCGTCACCGCAACGAGTTGAGTGGCCAAAAGCCAAAATGAAAGCTAACATTTCCTCTCGTTGTGTTGCCTGTCCCCTGCGCGCTGCCCGCTCGGGCGTTTCTTGCGCCTCTTGTTGGCCAATTTGTTGCCAGAAACACGCAGCAACACTTGAGTACACGCGTAGAAAACAATAAATTTATAAACGCTTTGCCTCCGAGTTGCCAACAATAATGGCGCAAAATATTGCCACTGGACAGCGAAGGGGGCCCGGCGGGGGAGCCTGACAAATGCGCGTGTCAGAAAGGTGGAGCGGAGGCGACTGTGTGTGCGTGAGTGAGGGTTAGGTGTGTACGTGCGCAGCAGCGCAGTTTGTAAAGTATTTCGTTGCGACTTTTGTGTATGGGTTAAAATGCCTCATAATACCCTTTCAATGGGGTGTCTTAGCTACGGCACGCACTCATAATGCCTAAGAACCATATGTTATATTATTATCCTCCGCTCCGGTAAAAATTGTTATGCTAAATCTGAGTCTAAATCATACTTATGCAACTAATGCTTAGGTAAAACTATCATAGAGTATGCGAATGACAACATATCAACAAAGCTGCCCGGACTTCATTTTCAAAAATAATACAGTGCAAAGTGAGTTACAAAATGGTTTCGCAGGATGTGTGCAAAGGAACCGCGTCATGTGTGTGTGTGTGTGTGTGTTGTGTGTGTGAGGGTGCGATTGCCGTTGCCAAACAATGAAACTTTACTCGCTGATCTCGTTTTTTATTTAAGCGTGTGTGTACACGTGCTGTTATTGTTGTTATTGTATTTTCATTGTTTGTTATTTACTTTGACACTTTGGCATTGTCACATTTTTAGTTTAGCCGGCGTTATTTATGGGCTAAAACGTCTCGTGCCGGCGCACGTTTCAAATAAATTGATTAAATTTCATGACAATTCATCATGCCACAAAAGGCAGCAGCAGGAACAGCAACAACAACGGCAACAACCACAATAACCACAATTTGTGAGCTGCTTCAAGTGGTTTTTAAGCAACAACTTTGCTCATAAAACATGGCACAACTTTGGCAATGTCCTTGTCTCACTCAACGCTCCTCTACGCTGGGCCATTTGCCTCTCTTTTGCTCTATCCGCATCTCTAACTGAGCTCTTGTGGCACTTGCGACAACTGCTGTGGCATTTGGCAAGTTTTATTCCTGTTTGGGCTCCTTGATATGATTATTATTATGCATACAAAACTCATAAAAGCCGCACACCAAATATCACTCACAAGACAAAAAACCGCAGCTGATTTTTGTGCGCTAATTAACAGCACCCACTTCAAGAAAAACAGGAACAACATTAGATCTGACATAATGAATATTTGAGAAGCGCTTTTTAATTGAATTTTCTCTTTGTGTGCTTCAATCTCATTAACATTTCTTTTTGGGTGCTAAGGATGAAATGGAAGCAACAACAACAACTACAATTGCAAAAAAAAAATAAAAAAATAAATCAAAATAAAAAACGTATGCCAAAGGATTCCGTAATCAAATTAAAAACCAACTCAAGGCACACTTTTTTTTTTTTTTTTGTAAGCACATAAATAATTACATAAATAAGTACTTTTATGTTATGCAAATACGGAGCAGACATGCAAAAGTCGATTTAATTAAATTTTCCCTCTATTTGCTTTTGTTGGTTTGCGCGCTTAGCAAATGAACTGTAAGAGGCGAATAAAAAAGCAACAAGCAAAGGGCATAAAAAATTTGAAATTATATATCTCTGTCAATATGGCAGAGAAGCAACCTAAAAAACCATAAAAAAGGCTTTGGCTTTTTCTCTTATTTACATTGTTGTTGTTGTTCGAATTTCAAACTTTTGCGGCGTTGCAAGCAGCGTATTTACTGATCAGAAGGGCATGAAAGGTTAAAGAGGGTGAGCGTTAAAATGGCATTACTGCTTCTTTTTTTTGCAGCGTATTTATATAAAGACCACAAAAGGCCCCAACTCAAATAAGAATATAGTCAAATTTGACTTTGTTAAATATTTATGCAAAAATCCAGAGAGATTTCATTTGGAAATATTAAAAAGCAAAGAAAGGGCAGGAAAAACGTTTAATATTGGCAGGCCGAAGATTAAATATCCGTGTTAAAGTATGGCTTATTGTTTTGCGAATATATGAAGAAAATTGTAACCACTTTTGCCATTGCTGAATTTGATAAATATATCTTTAAAACCGAAACTTTTCACATACTCAGATACTCATCTTTCGACAGACACGTCTATAGAACTTGTCAATGCCAATTTGGTTTAAGATATCTAAAAAAAGCTAAATGTTTTTTATACAACAGATTAATTCTTAAACGTACCCATGCCAGCTTTATGATATTTTTGTCAGACAGGCAGCAAGAAATATCAGAGAAGTCTGGCAAAAGTATAAATAATTATAAATAACATAGAATTTCTGAACAATAAATTATTAAAATAGTATTCAAAAGTTATTTCTTAGATTAACATGTAGGGTAAAACTTATTGCAAGTCCCATTCATATAAACTTTGAAGCAACTGGGTTGTGCAAATAATTGTTTTTAATGTTTAAGCAATGGCAAATAGTTTCGCATTAAATAAATGCGTCGGTTTGTTTTAAAAAAATCAAAAATGAAATAAAATTCTGTTTTCTGGCTGCAATTTGAGACTCTTTAGCGGAAAATGCACAGCAGGTTTTCTATAGCACATTTTAAAAACAAGAGTTTGCAGTCTTTGCTTTTACTTTATTTTACATTTTGCGCTTCGTTTACTTTTTGCATTAACTACGGAAAGTTGTTGTTTTTTTTTTATTCACTTTGTGGGACCTGGTAAACATTTATAACGCATTTTTGCTTTTATTATGTTAAGTCCTTTATCTCATGCGCGTCCCTGTCATTTTTTAATAAACAAAGTAATAATGAAAAACAAACAACGGCATGAATTTTTCTATTTTATAGAAGTAGCAATAATCCGTCGTTGCCTGAGTCAAACAAAAAATATAGTCGAAAGTCAATTGGTTGCGATATTTTCATTTGAAATTTTTACCAACTTATATTATAATATAATATATAAAAACACCGCTGAAATGGTACGGCATCTGTTAATTGCCAAATATTAACAAATAAACTTGTAAACATCAAAAATGTCATGTCTACTGAGATTCATAAAGGTAACATTTTCGGTGTTTCGGCCAACAGCACAAGCTAAGGAATTACTCGACACGAAACTTCTTACTGCTCTCAATACTCATGTTAATTTTTAGAGAAATACTTGCTTACGTTTATATATTTACTAATTTATATTATAAAATAATTTAAGTACGAACCTTCGACCTTGCGCGTGTAAGTTCAATGCTGAGACACCAAAGCCTGACAGGCTTAAGCACGTTTGCTTTTAGTTTTTTTCATACAAACTTTGACGGCAATTGCAAGTCTAATTTTCCAAACACCCCGTTTTAATGCGCACTTTCGACCCAAAATAAAGTTTCAATAAAAATTTCTGCTTCATAGCTTTTAATGTTTGGGCTTCGCTTTCATTCAGTCAGGACAAACTCAACGTAAATAAATAGATTTGATTTCATTTGTTGTCATTTCTGCTGTATAGGGGGTCGAATCTTTTGGCGTCTGATGCCAGGAATTTGTGCTTTTTTTGTAAAGGACTTTTCATGCGGATAATTAAACAAAATACCAACGCCAAAAGGGGCGAACTTCTGCTGTAAAGAGAAATAAGCTCAATCACAATTCTTTTCATAATATTCTTTCCATTTTGTTTAATATACCCAAAGCAGTCAATATTCGGTTGAGCGTGAATGAAAAGAACAAGTTGAGCCCCCGCTAGTTAAAATAAAAACGAGCAGAAATGTTGATGTTTGGCATTTGAGGTTGTTTTTTTTTTTTTTTAAAGCAAAAACGACTTTAACAACATTTTGGCAGCGGCACATCCGCTTGGCCAGGATATGGACTGGCTGCAATCGACAGAATGTGCTTCAATGGTTTTCTAATGGACTCCATCCGCTGTTTAATGCATCCCACACACATGCACATACACTCTAACTCACGCACACACACGTACACACACACATACACATGTGAAATAAACTGAAGTACGCAGCATCCTGCCAGGGCAATGTTCGTGCAGCGGCAATTTAAGTCCGAAAAAGGCGCACACATTGGCAGCTTGTAAAGATTAATGATCAGCACAGCCGTTGGCCCAGACCAGTGCAACATGATGCGATAATATGCGATTTGCTGGCCCGGCGTATCTATAAAAATCGCTTGGCTGCTGCTGCTATTGACAGAGCAGTTGCTGCAGGACGAGGCGAACAGGTCGTCCTTGTCGAGCAGCTCAAGTGCTCGTGTGCGTTTGCTGCTGCTGCTTCTGCTGCTGCCATTGCTGTTGCAGCAGCGACCTAAACATTTGGCATGCATGAAGTTATTCAATAAAATAAAAATTGAATAGCTTCTTGCGAAAAATTCTTTCTATTTGAGTTTGCGACCATGGTTGGCCAAAACGAAGATGCAGCAGGCGAAACGCTTTTATGAACCACTTACTGTACGTACATATACGAAATCGCAGTCATCTTCACACATGGCGCAAACTTAATCAAACAACGAAATACAGCTAACAAAATGGTATTTAATGGGTTAAGCATAACATGCGCAAAAGAAATTAAGAACCATATCTTTTGGTGAAACGAAACCTTGTTAATAAATCCATAATATCTGTCGATTTGTATGCACTGCACTACTGCATATTGATTATTTTCCAGGTTGGCCACACTTAGTTATATCCATAATGTTGACATATGGCCGTTATATAGCACACCTTTTATCTGAATCCATCCAATCCTTCGACTGTGGTATCTGGTCTGCCCACTAGTTTAACTGTTTTGTGAAGTTCTCTAACCGCCTCTCTCGCTGTTCCTCTGCCTGCATTTAAGCGCTACTCGCCAAAATCAAATTCAATTTAGCAGCGTTAAGCATTATATTCATTAAAATGATGTTGCCCGACTCTCCTGTACAAGTGCATCAAAGTCAACAGCAGCCGCAGCTGCAACCGCCGCGGCTGCCACAGCGGCCCAGTGCCGCAATCCACTGATGATGCAGTGCAGCTGAGCTGTTGGTGTAGCTAGTGCTGATTCTGATGCAGCTGCTGCGTTTAGCATTTTCAAAATCCGCTCAGTGCTGCAAATTGCGCTGCGTTTTGCCAACTTTTATGCTTACACACTCACTGACACACACACACTCACTGATACACACCCATACACTCACACGATGCGCAGACATGGCGCAGCCCAAGTGCAAACTACAAACTGTGAGTACTCCATGCATATGCTGCAGTAATTGCCGCCGTGCCGCTGATTACACTTCAACAGCGGCCACACAGAGACGCAGATGAACGACCAACAACTTGTGCCGCCTTCAAAGCAACTAACACCCATACAGTCGCAGACACACACACACAAACACACTCACATACACATTTACATCCTTAGCTTTGGTTTCAGACTTGGATTCCGTTTTGGCATCAGATCTGGCTATGGCTTTGGCACTGGCTTATGCGGCCGCTCTCGGCACTCGGGCAATAGGACCGCTGGGCTTTTAACTGTTCTAGATTCAGCAACACCCGCAAATTCGTGCACACACATAAATATACACACATACTTATACCTATGCTTGTGATACACAGCCAGCCGACAAATGTTCCGATACACAATATAAATGAAGTATATATATTAAAGAATATGAATAGTAGTCGTAGTCATTCATCAGATTGAAATATTTTTACTTTTATTAAAAAAGCAACCATGTGCATGCCCTTAATCAAGTTATTGGCTACGTTAAGTATATACAGAATGCAATTCCTTGCATAAACAAAAAATCTTTCAATACAAATTCCATTGGGCTTGACTAAACATATATTTTGGGCAACAAACTCAAATAAAGTAAACAAAGTACTTAAAAATCACGCAAATTGCAACTGACATAAATTAATTAAAGAGGAACAAATTTATGAATTAACTGCGAATATTTAAAATCACAATAACGTAGCGTATTTTTGGATTTTGTAAATTGTTTAGAGCTGTTAGAACTATTTCTTTTTGCAACCTTTATATATTTTCATTGCATTGTTTAGCACAAGCATTGATGGTTAAATATTACATTTTATTATATAAATATTTAATTTTTGTCGCCTGTACCGCTTTGCATATGCATTCCATAAATTTCTATGAGTTTCTCTTCAGTTCGAGTGCTTCGGCTGGCTCTTTCCCTATAAAGCATTGCCCCCGTCTATCCTTAGCTCTCTTCCTTGCCTCCTGTGGCTGATGCTGTATTTGAATATTTAATTTTTTAGCATGCAGCGCACATTTCGCACTTCTAAACTGACGCTAAACGCTGCCGTTGCCTGCCTGCATTTCCGCCTGCTCTACCCATTGCTCCAAGCTGTAGCACAGGATTGCCGTAACTCTGTGTGTGTGTGTGTGTATGTGTGTCTTTTATAAAACAAACAAAATGTTTTCTAAGCTAAATGGGCAGCTGCATCCCCTTTCAGCTTACTCGCTGATTGCGAGTTCAATGCGCGCCACAAGCTCTTAAAAGCATAGAAAACTCCAAATTGGCTTTTCCGATGTGTCATCTTTGCAATTTGGTTTTTTATTTCGCTTGTCGCGTCGCGAGTCCTAATTAATAACATTTTTGGCACAACATGGGTTGACATGTCACGCCTCTGGCCCTGCTCCCGACCCAACTGCAAGCAGACGCAATTTTTTAACTATCCTTTGACAGGCTGACGTTTGTAATTAAATGTATTTCACTTTGGTAAAATTCATATTGACAGCGGCAAGCAAAAGGCGTCCGGCATTTATCACGCAACAATTACCTGCCTTTAAATATTTAATTGAGTCGCCATTGAGCAGCGTACCTTGGACCCAAATATTCCCGCCATACACAACATGGCCATTCGCTTAGCGACGCCAACATTCCGTGTTGTGCATTGAAATTGCATTTGTATACTCTAACCGGGCGGCTACTTAAATTTAGTCATTGAACAAGCACTTAACTTTGATTTAAAGGGAAAAGCCTTTCCATTAGCTTTTCATAAAATAGATACCGAGTAACAATTTTACTATTAAAAAAATTTTATTGTTCATAACTACCCATAGTTTGCTTTCAGCTGTCCTTAAAATATCTTTATTGAAAAGACTGCACGAAGAATCTTTTATGTTTTAATTCAATTTAATAATTTTATAGCTTATTTTAATATGCAATATGTTTTAAGCTATGTCTAGGGCACTTTCGTAGATTCGCTCTTAACTTTCTTGTATTTATTTTTCATGTTCTCAAACGCACTTTAAAGAAATTTTTTATGCGAAATTCCATTATCCCTTTGACATTTTGCAGTCGAGTTAGCGACCCAGTTTGTTATACAGTGTAAATATCTCCAAACTTTTTTTTTTTGTGCAAAATAAACCGAAAGAGCGCAAAAGAAGAAGAAACTAGTTGAAAAAATTGCTGGAAAAGTACGCGCCAAACTGCATGACATTATTGCCAGTCAGTTGTTGTTGTTGTTGTTGTTTTTGATGTTGTTGCTGTCTAACGCGAGGTACTTGCAATGTCACCCACTTACACACACACAACCACACACAACACACATACAATGCCTCTCCCACACACACACACACACACACACTTCCGCTTTGGCTGCATTGTTCATTTAAATTCTAATTTGTATTTGCCGCACTCGACAATGAGAGTCGAGGACAGGAGAACCTGGGGATATGGTGAGCACGCTTCCTGCCAGCGGGCATTTGGACAGGTACTACGTAGGGTTGCGTTAGCTCTAGCCCCAGCCACAGCCCCAGATCAAGCCACGTGCCCAATAATGTCCTTGAAAGTTTTAGGGCGTGTCCCTGCGATTTGTTATTGCTGCCATAGTTAGGTGCTGCAATCCTAATCGCGTTTTTGGTGACGCTTCGCATAGCCAAGTGCTTGCTACAGTCAATTCGTGCTTTTAATGACTCCAGTTAAAGAGGAGAAGTTCTCGACGTGCAAATGGGGCCATTGAACAAAGTTAGGGCAAGGCCGCAGGACCTAAGTAGATTCCCATTACTACTCATTACTAGAGAAACAATTAGAAATCATTTGAAAGAATCAATCAATTTTGCAGATTCGTCGGTGAATACCCTGTAACAGATGGGTTATGTATAACAAAAAACAAAAAATTGACAAGGAACGACTTTTGTTTATTAATTTAGAAGAGACACTCTTCTAAGCTAAAATTTTAAGCTTTGCTTATTCGTCGTCCTGATTTAGAACAGTTGAAGATGCTTCCCTCCAAATGTTATATACATTGGCAAAAAATCAGTAACTGTAATCAAAGAGCCATGAACGAAACATTGTAATACAACCAGCGTTCCCGAAGCTGTATGAAAATGCGCTTCCGTGGCTGCGGAGGCAGCCGGGATCGTTATTGTACTAGGGCTGATTGCATGGGAAAATGCATGCGCCGCAATTGATATGGGAAATAAAGTGAAATATTATGAATGAAATAAAGTTAAACACAGTTTTTAAATAAGTTATTTTAATAAGCTGGATAAGCGATATGCGAAGGTAGCACATGTTTTTGATGTAACTAGAATATTATTTAATGCTCGTTGAAAGAAACTTTGTGCTAATTAGAATATCATTTGAAGCTCGCCAAGCTTCGATAACCAGAATTCGTGGTGTGTATATAAATTGTTTTCTAATTTAATAACTTTTCTGCCTTCCTGAAAAAGAATATAGGTTTCGCTGGACTTGCTTTTAAGTGCATCGAAAATATGCCATTCTATGGCAACTTAATTTGTTCTTGCTGAATTTTTTCATTTATTCCCTGACTATAGTTGCATTTTCTATTGCCGCTCTGTTGTCCAGTTTGGCTTTTAATTCAGTTGTTGTCGCCGTTGCTTTGGGTACTTAATTAAAAACCGCATTTGTTGCATTTCTTTCTTACCATTTTTTTTTTGTTTACGAACGGAGGAAGCGCCCTTGTGGCTGTCTCTGCGAATGTTAAAGCTTACAATGTCTTATGGCTGTCTTTTGTTCTGGTTTGTCACTGGAATTTATAGCAGGTTTAACCCACTTTTGTTGCTGTTGATACCCTGCAACAATTGAAAACGCTCAAAACAGGGTATATTGACTTGGTGCAAGTGTATGTACCGTGCAGAAATAAGCGTTGCGAAACCCATCGATCGAGAGTACGATTTCGCTCAACAAGGTAAAAGAGATGCGTTTTTACAAAATAATAAAGAAAAATTAAAATCTTTATAGTTGGAGCAACAATTTAATTTTATTCATTTCTGTCTTACAACTTATATTTTTTTTTGAGAAATTTCGCGAAGTATCCCGGGCTGGGCTGAGTAAAGGCGTATTATAATAATAATATGTAGGAAGACTCACAAAAGAGACAGAACGCAACTGTATGTGTGCAAGACTTGCTCGATTTTCCGAATGAAATGAAGCAGTCTGAAGATTCTTTGATCTGAGCTAGAGAGGCCAGATGCTTCCTTCTATGTCAAGAAAAAGCTGGTTGTTCACAAATAATTTTCATAGTTGCTTTGGTTGTCTCCAGGCAGAGCCTACATTTGGCGTCAGGCGCATTTTGTAGAGATATTTCTGACTGCTCTTTTTTATCTAGTTCTTTAGGCTATCAAGGAATCGATAAGCTTTACCCGAGGATACCTAGAAGAATATCAAGAATATCTAATTTTTGGATACACTCATGTGATTTTGTTAATACAGTTGTTAGGGAAGGCAATTAGAATGCATTTAGTCGCAGCTCTGCGTTTGGATAGGGTGTCTCTTGGCTGGGCACACCCGACGAGTGCACTTTAACATTTTTTTTGCGTAGTTTTTTTTTTTGGGTCAGCTTGAAGGCAGTTCAAAGTTTTAAATTGGTTGTCAAATGCAATGAGCAAATGTGATAAGTGCCAACGACTTGAGAAACACATTTTGCAATAATTAAAATGCATTCGCCATAACGAAGACAATGATGAAGTAGCATTGCGTGCAGGCAGTGCAATGACTTAGAGCTTCCCCCTCAGTAAATGGAATTGCGAATGGAATTATTTGTTCGAAAACGAATAAAGCATGTATGGAGAGTGTTTAACTCTTGCTTTTACTTAGGCTTTTAAAACTATGTTAACAACTAGGCAATTAAAACGCTTAACTGACGCTTTGGCTATGCTTTGGTTACTGCTCAGATTCGTGCCGGCCTGGGCTACACCTCCTCGCTGGGATTATCGCTAAACTTGATGGATCCGCGCTGCCGCACATTTGCCCGCTGCCGTTTGTACTCCGTGCGGGGCAGCTTCATCGGCTGATCGAAGGCAACAGCGCTGGGTCCAATGGGACTGGTCAGATAGCTGCCGCTGTGCTGCACCTCCGCTGGCCATTTGTCGCCTTGCATAGCTTCCACCAGGGCCGCCTCCATTTCTGCATCGCGCTCCTCCTGCTTGGTTTGACGCTGCTGCTCCTGGAGGCGTGCGCGTAGGCTGCTCATTGCAAAGCTGACATTGGAGTGTTGGCTGTTATCTGTGAGGATCTGTTCCTTGTGCTGCTTGGGTCTGGATTTGCTGTGGGCTTTTGCACTGGCCGCGGCTTCCCGTTCGCGATACTTTTTGAGATAGGCGGGCGGATAGTTGGGCGCTTCAGTTGTCGTTGTGGTACTGGTTGGGCTTGTGCTGCTGCTCGTGCCATGACTGCGAGGACGCTGTGGTTGACTGCTGCTGCTGCCGCTGCTGCTGCTGCTGCTACTGCTGCTGCTGATGTAATGGCTGCTGGGATGGCTGTGGTAGAGCTTGGAGGGCACAAAGCCGCCTTCCATGGGCGCCAGGGATTGCACCTCGCCGCTTGCCTCGCCCGTGTGCTCAGTAACTTCATATTGATGTCCCATCTGTTTAGACAGTTCATTTTCATCTTCGACTTGTTCGAAATCATCCTCCTCCTCCTCCAGCTCTGGACGATGACCCACCAGCTTCTCTGGCTTGGGCAGCAGCTCAGGAATGCCGTGAATATTGCGATTGTCGTGACTGGAGGTAATATGCGTGTGCAGCTGCGTCAGTGCCTGGGGACGCAGCGTGACATACGAGGTTGGCTGCTCATTGGACTTGTAGACGGGCTTCCAGCTTTGGTATTCCATAATCTTGCCAGAGACAATCTCATTGCTGCTGGGTCGGGCTCTGGGATTGAAATATTTATCCATGAGCGCCTCATCGCTGCTTGTGGGCGCTTTGCCCTCCACAATTAGCTCCTGCTCTTTCTCCAGTTGACGCATTCGATTCTCGTACTGCAGCTTACTGGGCTCTGTCGCAACAGGCTTTGGCAGTGGCCTTATCAGCTTCACTACCTTCTTCTGTGAGCCGCGCATCTTGATTATCTTGACGGGCTTGTTTGTGTGCGGATCTCTGATGATGTACTTAACGCGCGTCGTTTCCGTGGGCATAAAATCAATCATGCTCTTGCCATAGTTGGCTGTGCTGTGCACAAAATCACCGAACATGGACCTCATCGCCCGACCCCCACCGAACATTCGACCCATAAGTCCACCCATTAGCGAGTTGTCCATTTGCTGCCACATAAAACGCCGTTGAATTCTATAAATATAAGAGTTTGTATTGTTTCAACTCATCAATCAAACGTAATCATCCAAATTAACTCTTAGTTAATCACTGAGCATTTAATTTGAAACAATTGGGAACTAGAACTAAAAATTTGTGTTTTCAAATATTTATGTTGTTTTCTTAATATACAAAACATATTAATATATTAGGAGTTCACACAAATAGAAGTAAATCGAGCACTAAACAAAAGCTATTCAGCTGGAACAGACACTTCCTAGTCGCTATATTGTATGCCATTAGCTGGCATCGATTCAAATTGTTAATTGAATTCGTTTTACACTTACCTGTGATCCTCCGCCTGTTGCTCGCCACTCGCTAGCTGCAGCAGGAGCAACAAACTTGCCACAATAAGCGGCCAAAAGCAGCTGCCAGAGATCTGTGTAGCAGAGCCGTGTTTAAATGGCATTTGCATTGAATTGATTTCTGGCTTTCTTACGTAATGCTTCCTCATGTTGGCTAGTGTGATATGTTGTTATATGCTGTGCTCAGGTATTCCCAGATAGAGCTGTCCGCAGCCTTTGGCTTGTAACTAGCCGTCGGTTGCTTGTCGATGGCCACTTTTGACTGCCGGCGCCTGCGCGCCAAGCACATGATTTTATACACTTCGCACGTTCAGAGCTGGGAATGTGGCTGAGCAGCTAAGCAGCTCAGCAGCTGGCTGCAGTTGCTCCAATTACTGAGCGCAGTTGCGGCATTTCGCTTGCGCTTGCGCTTGGCATTGGCATTTCACTTTCGGCTGAACAATGGTTACTCTTCTCCTCCCCCCCCTCCACCCCTGTGAAAATTGCCGCCCCTTATACATATTTATGTGGCCGCCTTTCGTCGAACAATTAGTTCCATTAGTTTCTGGCTGGTTTTGTGGCTGTGGATAGTTTTTTTCTTGTACATAGTTTTTTTTTTTTTTGTGTTATTGCCTTTTCCTTCCTCTAGTTGGTTGTTTCCGTATACATTTTAGTTTCTTGCTGGCTGATTTTTGCACCCGCCCTGGCGTGCAGGTCTTAAATATTGTTAAAATTTTTATTAAATTTTGTTAAATCACAGCGCCGTGCATTCAGGACAGAAGCCAGCCGCCGCAGCGTTTTCAATACCGATTCGTGCTCAATTATGAGTTAATATTTATTAATGAGAGGCTTTTTATTTTATATACATTTCTTTTTTTGGTTGCATTTTATTAATTAACGGCTCATCGGCAATTGTTTCATTAAATTGATGGGCAGCGCCATCTGGTGAGCCAAACGTGCACTGGCCATTCAGGGAATGAGCTGTCTGGTCCAGGGCCTTTGTGCAAATGACTTTATGGCGTGCGTTTGTGGATAGCAATCAGTTGATGATAATGACGATGATGATGATGACGTTCGTAATGATCATGATGCCTATGACGATTGCAATGATTATGTGCTCAAGCTTTTTGTTTGCACATTGTGCATCCACTTGACGACTGTTTGAATTGCAAATGCGATAGGTGGCGCCACTTGGCAATTGCGTTAGAAAGGCTCGTTAAGAACGTGTGTCATTGACATCTGGACACCATAATGGGGGCTTACTGTGTCATGAGTATTAATATGACATGGACTCCAAACAGAGCCTTTTTTTGTTCCATCGACATGATTAAAACTGAATTTGCTTACAATTGAGCAGGATTTACACATCGAAATCAATTTGATTTATTTAAACATCATTCATTGTTTTAATCTGTAAGTATTTACTCTTTGCTGAGACTTGCTTTATTGTTTGCATTATTTATGCCTAACAATACACTTTTATTTTTATGATTTAAATGGGGAAATGTTTGTGACTTTTGCTATGCAGCGTAGCTCATTTTGAGCCATGTAGAATTTCAGCAATAGATACAATCACATGCTTTCAAGGATCATGGTTCAAGGTAGTACGGAAAATATGAATTTTCTATAGACAAATTATAACTTGATTCAGAGTAAATGACTTGGCCACCGTTTTGTCCAGGTAATATTTAAAAATACATGCATATGCAGATATGCATGCATGCAGATATTTAGCAAGGATTTCGCAGGGAACTTTCCTTGAAGCACCGTTTAAATAGCGTTTAAGTAGAGCACAATGAAAACTCATTTGCACGCAAATGCACTTAAATCCACGAGAACTTGTGTTTGTGTATGCGTATTTGCCAAGAGCATCGAACAACAAGTATCGCAATTGTGTGAGGATACAAATATTGCGCATACGCCGTGTGGTTGCAGTCAATTCCGCTGTGTTGTCAATATAATGTATTTAAAATGCCATTTGTGTAAATGGATTATGTAATCGATGCATTTGCCATTGGATTTGCTCTTATGTGCGGCGTGCCTGTGTGTGCATGTGTGTGTGTGCGCGTGTGTGTATATACTAAATGCATATTTGTATTATTGCTGCCAAGCATGGCTTGCTGATAACGATACGCAACTGTTGTTGCTTCACCATTGGCATTCAGCTCGGCACTGAGAGCCGTCGCGCTCGATATGTATATAAGTAAAAGCAAATTGATGCCTTAAGCCAAATATAAACACAATAAAACCAAACAAGCCGCAACAACAATGAGTTACAGCACACAGTCAGAGGGCGCCAAGTTACAAGTTGCTTGCAGAAAAGCACTCCCCCAGTGATGGACCCTGCAGGGAGCCAGAAACAGACTCTCAGAGTGAGTCCGATGCCGATGCGAGGGCACAGGCACAGTACTCAGGCACAGGCCCAGGCCCAGGCCCAGGCATTCAAGTCTGGCAGTTAGTCAAGCGTAAGGCGGCTGTTGGCTGTCGGCTGCTGGCTGGAAGCAGGCGGCCAACTGCAAATTGTATGAACTGAAATTTGCCTGTAAGCCGGGAGCCAAGTAGACGTCGACCCAAAGCAGCAACAATAGGGACAACAACTCTTGCAGAGCAGCAGCAGCCGCAACGGAGCGCTGCAAATTGTATCTAAAACGTTGATAACATCGCATTTCTGGCTTATATTCTGCCCCACTAGCTCACTTGCCAATCACAGCACACAAAGGCACACAGGCTAAGCATTAGATACAATAACATTGACAACATTGGCAGCCAACATGCACCCAGATTGATGCGACCGGATCCATTAGGGATTGCGAATGGGCATATGATATGGGCTCTGAGAGGCAGTGCATCAACTGTTGACCATTCGACTAATGCAATAGACATGATAACTGCATTTCAGGTTTCTGTTTAACTCTGTACCCTCTCACAGCACGAGGGCTGTTTAAATAGTTTTGTCAAGCGCCGCTTAGTTGAAATTCTTTATCAATAAACCAATATAAATCAATATGTCTTCCATTTCAGGGATAAATTTTCTATGTTGAATTTTTTATTGTTAAACGAGATTTCGATGAGATGTGTATTTCTCTGTTGAACAAGCGCGAAATTCTTTTGCAGATGGTATTGTAATTTGATTTTTATTAATGATCAGATACTGCTTGCATAAAAAACTTTAATGAATGCAATTCAAGATCTGAATATAACTTCTCGTTTGTGTCATATATTTGCAAGTGTATTCAATCAATGGCATCCCGAAAGTGACTGCTTTTTCTTGCCTTTGTTTGCATTAAATATTTTGTATACCCTGTATTCATGTCTAATTGTGTCAAATGTGCATATTGCAGTCGTGAAGTTGTGTGCCTTACAAGCACACATCCTTGACATCCCATAAAGTATAAAAAATATCCAAATTTCAATACATAAATTATATATACTTGTTCAACGTCAACAGTTGAAATGCCTATTACGGCTGTTCTGAGCTTGGATGCAGAGTATCTTTTAGTCCAGCCACCGTAAACCAGAGCAGTTTTACCTGGTTTTATTTGCACAGCTTACGGACCATTTTGTTGCTGCTGTTGCTTTTGTTATGCTGCACTTAAAATATATTTACTTATGTATATATTGTAAGGTAAAAGGACTACCTGTTTTACAGCGTATCTGCGAAACTGATGCTGGTGTTTCTGTTGTTGTTGTTGTTATTGTTGTTGTTGTTGTTGTCCTTACTGATTTAAAGCCTGAAGCGCTGCTGTAGCTGTTGCATTGTGCGACCGTTGACGACACAATTTTTGCTTTATACTCTACACACACATACACACACACACACACACACACACACACACACATAAACGCTCTTACGTACACAGAGATATAAAGGCAAAGATATTGCGCATACGCCGCGTTGCAGCTTTATATCCATGTCTGTCATGTTGGCGCCATCACAAAAGCTTTGAAGTTGCATAGATAAGCTGCCCAGAGTTGTTGTATCGTTGTTGCCACGCTGTTGCCGCTGCAGTTGCCGCATAACTTGGGGCTAATGGCCGCCCACTGGACAATGCGCGCCGCGTAAAGGCATTGCAAGTAGCGGCCCATAAACTTGTGTCATAAGAATCCAAGACGCCAAGATGCTGTGAAGCAGCAGCAACATCTATGTGGCATTTGCTGGCTCCCTGACTGGGTTGCATTACATGCTTGAAAGCAAAATAATAATAATAAATAAAATCTATTTGCCAGTGTAAATGTAATAAAAATTCGAATTTTCTTCATTTAGTTGCAGACGAATGATAAGTTCATTCCGTACTTTAACTTTTAATACTATTTTATTATGAAAGTTTCTGCCATGTTAACTATCAAAAAATGTTTGCTTTCTACTTTTTAAAATGCTGCTCAAAAAAGAATCTTGGACTTCTTGCTAATATACTCTCACTATCAAAATAACATTTATCGGAGCAGTCAGAAAGTTCCCCCAAACTTTGTTTAACAGTTGCGTCCCTTTTATTAGTCTTTGGTCAATAGAACCTGTGGAAATGAGTCGTTACCTTTAATTATTTGTATCGTTAGTTAAACATAAATATAAGATTATGTGCGACATCAAGATATTGCTTAATATTCGTGTATCTATTTCGTATTCAAATTTAATTTCGAGGCCCGAGCTCGCCGGAACTGTTTTGTGGCCCGTTCACCTGTCTCTAATTTCAGCTCGTATTATCCCTGCATGTAATGCGTAAATATATGTGTGTATACTACTTACTAATACTACGCTCTTATTATAGTTTAAACGGTTTTCATATTTAAAGGAAAAACAGCGAATTGAATGCTAAATTAAACGCTTCCTCTGGGTAGAATTAAAATGTCTGACAGCTCTAGTACGAAGGATGCTCAATTCGCAAACGGATACCCTAAAACTATGTTTTACTGGCAGCACACACACACATATACATATATCTGTATAGATACAAGCACATACACGCACACATTTAAGCGCATTTAATGCGCGCATAAATTATTCAGAGTGGCGCTGAAAAAGCGCCGCACAGTCATCCCGGCAAGGCTCCTCGCTGGGCAATACTCAATTATTTTAGATTATGTTTGGATTAGTGGTCAGCGAGTGTAGCTGAGTACGCTTGTGGATAGGAGCCAAATGTTGGTTCAATGTACGCCTGGTTATTGCACTTTATACGCTCGCTGAACAATGGCGAGGACAGTTCTGGCTTTTAGTTTTTTATTTCAATTGTTGGGGCGAACGACGGTGGTTCAATCAATGTTTAATTGACCCATTTAGTGGGGAGTTGGGGCATAAATAACATTCAAGCAGGCCATGCTCGTTTCTTGTCGCTGCTAAAAGCATTTGTTATTTATCCACATTGTGTCCGGATGAGGTCCTTGTAATGTCAGCCTATGCGTTTAATTTATATTAATGTTGTCATCGTCAGGGCCCCGCCCCTATTCCCATGCCCTGTTGCGACTGCAACTGTGCCCCCTTCTCATCTGCACTGTTTGCTTGCTGGTGTGGCCCAAATTAATTTACATTGCGCGAAATCCCAGATGCCCTATAAATTGTTATGCCATTAAATTGGGGCTTACAGAGCCAACCAGCAGCCCATTGAGAATGATTATGATGAGCTGTTGAGCCTCTGTTTTACGAGCATTCAATCAGTTTGTTTATGCAAATGAACTGACAGTATAAATTGACAGCGTGATTGTGTTATTGCAACCGCTTTTATTTATTTTTATCTACCGTAAAGTATTGACAATTATGCGTAGTCTGTTTCAATTCAATTCCTAATCTCACTTATTAATTTTTAATAAATACAAATCTCTGTGACACATTTACAAGCTATAAAACGCAGGTTTAGTGGCCACAGTAACCAAGCATTGGAGGCTTTTGGCTAGCTTTTTATCTGCTCGCCCGTTGAAAATTCGTGCTACTCTAATTTATTCATAACGCATTACAATTCATTGCAACTAACTACACATCTCTGTCACAAAATGCATAATTTATTCCAGCAAAAGTATAATAAAGTTTGTTGAAAGTTTTATTACGCATTCAAATTTAATTCTCCAATCGATTATTACTACTATATTATTCCAGATTACTACAAATCTCGTATGATACATTTTGCAAGAAATCAAAAGTTTCTCTGGCAGCCGCACTAACCGAAAATTCTTGGCTTTTGTTTAGCATTCGCCTGACTTTAAGCAAACATGTTCATTCGAAGCCCATAGCTATAACCACAGAACTGTGCTATAATAATGCCAAACGAAGGAGTTCGGCTCGAGAATGAAAGGCCAGCCGCATGCTCTCTTACCTTCTGGTATTTCAATAAGTAAAGCACATTTGTATCATTTCAAATCCATAGCTAACCTCAATGACACGCTGATTAAATCAAATAACTGATGGCTTTGGCTCACTAAAAGCCCCAAAAGGAAGCAGTCAGCAAACTAAACTGAACTCTGTCTCTATGTTACTGCTGCTGCTACTGCTGCTACTGCTACTGTTACTGCTGCTGGTCAGCAGTCAGAGCCGGAAATCAGCGTTGCCCAATCTGTGGCCAGTTCGTTGCTGCTGTGGCGCGTACTTCATTGTCTATGAAATTTGCTCAACTGCAAGCCAAGCAGAAGGAAATTGCTCACACGTACACACACACACATACATGCGAATATATGTGTTTGTGTACGTGTGTGTTAGTATTTCTAAGGCGACTGACGTTGCCTTAGCATTTTTTCTGCTCGACTGCTGCTGCGGCTGTTGTTGTTCTTGTTGTTGTTCTTGTTGTTGTTTAGTTTCTCGAGCAGCTGCCATTTTGTTTTGGCCCATACACGTTAGATGTGCATGTATATGCGTGTGTGTCTGTGTGTTTGTATGTGAGAGTGTGTGTGCGCTTGTCCATTGTTGTAAGCATCTTTTGTTTCAATTGCTTTGCTCGCGGCCCAGCGCAGATTTGAGCTCGACTCTCGTCTCCGTCACCAGCTTTGCTGTTGCTGCTCCCTGTGGACCCTCTTCTGGGCCCTGCCCATTTGAAGCTGCTTTATTGCAATTGATTTTGACACCGCTTTTTATGGGTTCCGCAATCTGCCAGCTTAATATGACCTAAGCATCATGTACATGTGCCGCATCGATAACTTTAAGATATACTTTTATTTATATATGTTTTCTCTTTCTCTGTCAAGCTGTTAAATTTCTTCTTGAATTTTTATCCCATTGCAGCTACGTTCATGGCATTGGCTCCGAAACGCGCAACTCGCTCTTCCATTTGCATAATGGACGTGATATGGTTATGGTGACCACATGCCGGCACGGCAAGAGCTGGCGCGAGCTGCAGGATAATCGCTGCGATGAGGATAACCGCGAGTATGATAGGTAAGTGGAATCAACATTTAGAAGGCCATCAAAATAATTAGCTTTAAAACGACGATGACGTCGGGAGGAAAGCCAAAAAATTGTTTCTAGCTGTCATTAAGTCCAAATGTAATTTGTTTATCCGTCCCGTGCTAATAGCAACTGCCACGCCTGCCCAAGCCCATTGACCGCCATTAACCACAGTTAGAGTCTCTGCCTCTGTCCTTCTGCTGTGTCATGTGATTAATGTTCTAAAATCCAACTTGACAAGCTCATTTAAATGGCACGACACTCCAGTCGAGACATTTGGAACGCCAACGATTGCCTTTTAGCATCTGTCCACTTTCTTTAACTTTTGGCGCTGCGCAAACTGAGAAATTTTCAATCGTTGTGTTCGCCCTAAGGGGATGCGAAAAATAATAATAGAATAAATAAATGAAAAGCTTAAACTGTACAAATAGAACGATTGAAGTTCAAACTTAAACTCAATCTAATCTAGAGTTGCGTTTATCAAATAAACAAGCTGTATTCGAAATTTCATCAAGTTAAACGGGTCTTGGGTTTAAAACAGCTTAAATGACGCGAAACGAAACATTTTTCAGCATTGCCACTCGATTTCGCCGTTATAAATCAAATCGATTCGTGATACCGATGTAAAATATACATTGTGAGTTTCCAGCCATCCGTAGCTTATTACATTTATTTCACTTTTCACTGCGTTACACTTCACTTTCATCGCTTTAACTGAATTGCATTGAGATGGGCACGCAGGTATCGAAAAATCTGGTAACCAAAATAGGTGAAAGGGCCAGTTAAAGTACTTGGAATGCATTATATATATATCGAGAAAATAAGGATATTTTCGGCACGACAGAATGACAGACTTATGCAAAGTTTCCAGAACGGAGGAATCATCTGTTGATGGGGATCTACTTAGAATATAGATAGGCTCGGAGATGTCTCCATCTTTGCGTTACACATATCACAAATAATACCCTCTTATTTTATACCCAAATTAAATTTAGAGCAATATATTAAAGCTTAAAGTTTAATTTTTTTTTTTAAAATAAGGAATCCAGAGTCCTTCTTCTCTTGGTGAATATATGCTTGGCCATTGCAAACTGTCGCAGATCAAGTAAAAATATGATACCAATGTGTGTTCAATTATATATATTTACATAAATAGTACTAAGTCCTGCACTGATTTTCATTACTTTACGACTTGATTTTCATTAATTTATTGCTTATGCTCGAAGTTCAGAAAATGTCATCGAAACATTTACCTTATACCTTTAATTGAATGTAATTTTTCATTCATTTTTCAGCATTGCTTTTGCAGCTGACTGAAGTGCCACCTATTACACTTCGTGCCCCTTGCCCCCAGCTGTCCGATGCTCGTAATTTGACATGACTTATGCGACAGATCAGCTTTGGCGTCAAGCGTCAGCGATTTATGCAGCCCATCCTACTTTCATTTGGCCCCATTTCGCCTGCACCCATGGTTCGGCTTACCCGAGTCGAGCCACACACTCTAAACTCAACTGAGGGGTGGGCGTGGCTGCCGCTATGTCAGCCCGTCCGTCAACTGTTCTACATAATCAAGCAAATTGCTTTCCTACTCACATCATTTTTTATCCGGTTGCCCCCCCGTCTGGGGGCCGTGTCTGAAACTTCGTTAATGCACCTGTCAAATATGGCGCATATTTATAAATGTCGAGAAAATTGCATAATACCTTAGCTGCCTGCAAAGATTTTTCGCATATTTTACGATGCTCCCGACTCTGATGCTGAGCTGCTGTTGCTTCGGATTTTTGATGACTTTGCACAGCATTAATATGCAAAACTATGCATAGTTAGCTCTGCTCCCTTCTAAAAACTTTGATGTTATGGATGAGCCGAAAAAGTAAAGCCCCTTATTATAACAATGACATAAAAGTGCACAATGTTTTATCGGGCTTTTCTTGGCCAACGGTTCAATCGACAGGATCAGGCAACGGCCATAAGCTGCCAAGTGGCGAATGATTGACCAGCATTATGATATGATTTATACCCTTACCAAGTATAAATCATGAATTTATTATAGTATAAAAAGATTCATTGATTGCCAAAAAAAGGACATGGAATTAAAATTATAATAAATTTACTGATTTTCTTGATTTACATATATTTGAATTACCATCAAATATTTATGTTACAGCGACAGGAAAACGGGCAGATGGCATTCATCAAATAATGAATTAAATAAGTTAAATATGCATTTAATATCGTTTTCATTTAAAATGAATTGCCAAGCTCGGCAGAATAATTTTGACATAAAAAAGGTGTCATTTATTTAAGGTATTTTATTGACAAAAGTTCCAATTAAAAACTGAACTGTGCAATTTCTTTATTTTTTTATATTTATTTATTAATGGTCGACAAAACGAGTGTCTTCCTCATTATTCAAAAGGTTGTACAATATAAGTATATTCTAAAAGCCTAGTTAAAGGATACAATTTTCTAAATAGCATCACCGACCGATGGAGGTGTTTTATTTGCCAGTCCGGCCAGCTGTGCCCCTTTTCACAGCTAATTTTGTCAGTGACGCTATTAGAGCCTACATCTAAGCAGAAGGTTGTAAGTAGGAAAAAAGTGATCTCAAGTGAAATTAAAAATAATCTTAATTTGCTAAATTAATAAAGAAAATACAATAAATAGGAAAAAAGAAAGTAAGAAAATTGTTAATAAAGTAAAGCAATGTAAGTTAGATAAAGAGTGTTAAGTGGATAGGACAAAGAGAAAAGTAATGGGAAATCACCGACCCGGTGGGGGAAAATTTTTCAGCCTGTCCGGCTAGCTATGCCCCTGCTCATAGCTGGGAATGGTCAGCGACTTCCCGAAGGTATCCTGAAAGCAACGATTTTATTAGGGGTAGAGACAGTTCGGTAGAGAAAACGTGATGCAAACTATTATAATTTTTACATAGCACGCGAAAAGAATTGTGCATAGCGTAATCAGTTGTGCACGTAGATAGTAATAAGGGGCGATAATTTCTGGTTGGTCTAGCCGGAACAGAGAATTGAAGACGCCCTAGCAGAAAAGGAGAATCGATGTCGCCAATAATCAACTTATGTAGAAGGACAACACCGAGAATTGTCCTACGGTTGATTAACGACGGAAGGTTGAGAAGAAGCAGTCTGCTGGAGTAGGACGGCAACCGAAGATTAGGGTCCCAATTTAAACCTCGTAAGGCAAAAAGCAGAAATTGCTTCTGAACAGATTCAATACGATCCTGGCTGTTGATATACTGTGGAGACCAGATGCAAGAGCAGTATTCAAGGATAGGGCGAACAAGAGAGATGTACAGAAGTTTTGTTATAAAAGGATCGTTAAACTCTTTAGACCATCGTTTAATGAATCCAAGTACACCTTTTGCCTCATTAACAATGGTATCTATATGAAGATTGAAACAGAGTTTAGAATCAAAAATAACGCCTAGATCCTTAACTGTTAGTATACGTTGCAAAGGGATATTGTCGATTGTATAACTAACAAGATAAGGTGTAGTACGATTAAAAGTCATAAACATACACTTTGAACAATTTAGATGCAATTGATTGGCCGAACACCAAAGTTGCATAGCGTTCAAATCGTCTTGTAGACGAGAATGATGTAGGGGGTTAGTGTATGATAGAAAAAGTTTCACATCGTCCGCATACATGAGTACACGGGCATGTGATATAACAGAAGGAAGATCATTTATAAAAAGTGTAAAGAGTAAAGGTCCAAGATGACTACCTTGAGGAACACCAGAAGTAACGTGAACCCTTTTAGAGGTAGTCAACCTCAGTATTACTCTTTGGGTCCTACCTTTTAAATAAGAATTAATCCAAAGTAAAAGGGACAGAGGGAAACCTATTCGGTCAAGTTTAAAAAGTAAAATGTCATGGTGCACAGAGTCAAACGCCTTGCTGAAGTCAGTGTAAATGACATCAGTTTGCATTTTCGAAAGGAAAGCATCATTTACCAAGGAAGTAAACTCAAGCAGATTGGTCGTAGTTGACCGATTCTTTACGAATCCATGTTGAACAGGGGAAACAACTGATTTGCAGAAATGCTGCAAATTCGAAGTGATTATTTTTTCAAATAATTTAGGAATAGCAGACAGTTTTGCAATGCCCCTGTAATTTTGTATATCAGACTTCCCACCTTTCTTGTGAAGAGGAATGATATAAGATTCTTTCCAAAGAGATGGAAAGACAGAAGTTTCAAGGGATAGATTAAAAAGCTTTAGCAATGGATAGAAAAGGGAAGAACTGCACTCCTTGAGTAGACAACTAGGAATATTGTCCGGCCCAGGAGAGTAAGAAGATTTTAGAGAGTTTATAGCTAATAGGAGAGAGGAGTGTGAAATAATGGGGGGAGGTATAGAACTAGCGGAGGAAATAGTATAAGGGTAAGAATTAGTATTAGGACAGACTGAAGAGTAAGTTGATTGGAAAAAATTAGCAAAGAGGTTAGCAGAATCAGTGTCATTGCTAGCTTTATCCATCCCAAGAAAAAAAGAAGATGGCAAAGTTGAAGACTTACGCTTCAAGTTTACAAAATTATAAAACTGTCTCGGATTTCGGGCGAATTGCCTTTTACAACGAATTAGATAATTCTCATAGCATTGAGAATTAAGAAGAAAAAAGTTCGACTTGGCTATGGAATATTTAGCCAAGTCTGAACACGAACCAGACTTTTTAAACTTTTTAAAATATTTGGATTTTACATTTTTTAGATGTGATAATCTGGGAGTAAACCAGGGTGGTTTTGAAAAAGTAGTCGAAGGAATTGACTTAGGAATACACACATCTAAGAGGGAGTTTAGGGTGATATAAAAAGAATTAATGGCTGTATTCATATCAACTGAGTCATATAAGAAAGACCAATCGGTTGAATAAATAAGCTGATTCAGCAAGGAATAATTTCCTTTGCGAAAGCAATAGCGGGGCTTATTGGCTGATGAGCACGAAATGGAAGGATTACAATTTAGCATT